GTACTTCATAGTTATCATTTTCGGTGATTGAGACCCGAAACCCTTGACTGCTGAAGCGTCATTCGCAACGTAGAGATGCCGCTAATTGCTACTTACACGAGGAAGTCAACACATCTCTCAAAAGAGCCTAGCAGATGTTTTGTCTGTCGGGAAGCTAACTAAAGTGCCCCTTGTCTTCGGTTGGAAACTTATCATCTGACATGGCAGCTCAGACGATCCCTCTGACACGCCTTGGAGCGGCCAACAGTCGAATTGGCGGTCGCCAACGAACCGAGAAGCGTTGATCTTCCCTCGTTTCGTAACGTTGTTGCAAAGACCAGCGTAACTAGCTTCGGCTGTATCTTGGTCGCCCAAGGCTAAAATCGGTTTTCGGTACAGATTGGCAGGACTTCTTCAAGTGATGCCTTCTTTCTGCACTTGATCAAGCGTGGTAAAGTCTTGTCTGAGGGAGAGTTGAATCTACCTCAAGTTCATCGGAGGAGCTTGTTGGAAAGAAGCTTCAGGCGTAGTAGAAAGACGGTACGCGGAAGGCTCATGGTGGCAGGAAGGCACTGTGGTGGGTGCTTCTGTAGTCGAGATCCCCAGCTGCAGTAAGGTTCTCGAATCGAGTGGTAGAAAAGGCTCCACAAGTGGGGCGGTCACTGCAGTGACAGGATGGAAAGCTTCAAGAGAAGTCGAAGGACGGCTTGTGAAGACGGCTTTTGGAGTAGAAAGCAGACAGCTGTTTCGGTATCCGGAAGGAGGGAGGAGTTGTGGAAGGCTTTTGTGGAGAGATCTCGGTGAGATACTCAGATTCCTAGGAGCCAGTGACAGAGATGTCTCCGTTGCAAAAGGCTTCAGGGAAGCACGGCTGGAAAAGAAAAGGATATTCAGGACTAGACCGATCACTTCCACGCCACATTGAGCCCATGGCATGGTCACCATGAGAATCATGGAACAAAAAGATCGGTTCTCACTGAGTAGAAGGATTGAAGAATACCTATGGAGAACTCTGATGGAATGAAGAAAGGGATTTGTTAATTCTGAGGAGATTCCTACCCGAGGGTTCGAAGAACAACGTCTATGCCTGAAGAGAGTAGGCATGTGCTGTTGCTGATACGGTCCACATCCCTGTTATCCCTTTATGAGTCAAGACATGTTAAAATGTTGCTACCATGTTGTAGCGGCAACCTGGGTAGGTGGTATTGTGGTGTGTAATAAAGATGATTATTCTCTGCTCAGATGTAGACTTCCTTGGCAGACATAAAAGATAGGTAAGAGCAAATACCTAGGCAACCACGACAGCTTGCCGTGACAACATCCCGTCAACAGGAAAAGCTCATAGCGAGCTCGCTATGCATCAAAGAGTATCATAGAAGGCTGTGGCAAAGAATGGAAGCAAGCAAATACAGGTAGCAACCAAAGGATGTAACAGGGTATGCGATATCTAGATTGTTCGCAGATGGATATTTTAGAATGGCGTCTCCGCGTAGGTTGCTAGGAGGAAGGTGCCTGTGTACGAAAGCAGAGCGGTTAAACTCGTCGATACTCGAAATGTCATCGTAGCCTTATTGAAAAAGTATGGGTATGTACGGTAAAGCGCATGACATCATAGATGCCCGTGAGGACACCCAGAATCTTGCGAAGAGTCTTCGCCTTATCAAGCTCCACCGCTTCCCCGTCTGGCTTCTTCTTCGTCCCCAGGCGGTTCTCCACACGTTGGATGGCCGTTAGGGCCGTGTTAAAATGATCGCAGGTGCGGCGGAGCCGCACGGCAGTTTCGACGGCTTTGTACCGGAGCGAGAGCTGCCTTTCGAATATCCGGCTCATCATAACCATGAGGGTCTGAAAAATATCTCGAGTCAGCGGTGTTCGAACCGCACAACCGATCAGAGACGCTTCTTCATTGAAGAATGCTTCTACATCAGCGGTATTTCATTAGGAAATAATGACCCCAATGGGCAAAAGTTGTTAAGCTCCGCAAAGATGCCTTATACGTCTTCTTTTTTATCTTGAAGACTAAGTCTTCCCCAAGCGCGATTGACGCTGGTGGTGGATCGATATTAGAAGGAGAAATTCTGTTGACGAGTTAAGAGAAGTAATGAGATGCTGGGAAGCTTTATGGATAGATGGTGAGCTCGGCAAGATTGGTGAGCTCGTTGGCCAAAGCACGGGCTCTATTCACTTTTGGCTTCTTGTGAGGCGCGTTGTAAAGTTCGACGATGCTATAAGATGGGTTCCAAATTCTCCGCACGATAATGAGATATTCGTCGAACTAATGTCCGATATTGAGGGTCTCAAGCAGTGCCGATATAGAGGTTGAAGAATCGTATATAAACTAAGGTAAAGATATGAAGGGCGGGGATACAATGTATTTGTGATCTTCAAGGTTGGTTTATATATGTATAAGACCTTATAAAATGATGCTGTTGACGATGATATATCAATCGTGGCAGATAGTAAGAAATTTGCTCAGACGATCAATAGGGGTTAATTTCTTCGAAGTGGGTGACATCGGTATAGAAAAAACCTGATCTCGTCTTCCAGGCTAAGAGATCCCAATCCGAGCTGAGGTTCCTGTAAGGACCCAAGGGAATTGTAATCGCCACAATCAATCCATGGTCGGAGCCCAGGATTTCCTTTGCAGCCGTGGCCACGACAGCGGAACTGATGAGCCCGGCTGCAAATGAGCCAGAGCAACAAAGAATCGACGGTCGTATTGAGCTAGGCTAGCTGTGGATTATTGCAATGCTTTCAATGAGGCGTTGATGCACTCATCGTGATGTGAGGGTTGTATTTTTTGTTTCTATAGACAAGAGTCAGCTTTGCAACCATATGTCCTAAACGTATGCATAGTAACTCACCTTGCGTGAGGATGTAATGCTGATATCGTCTTGATCTAGAATTCGAGAAGAAAAGGAAGTCGTCTTACGTAAAGTCTTTGGGGAAGAAAGAAGAAGTGAGATAGACATACAATCGATAAGAGCTTTGGTCAGATACCTTTGATGACACCAAGCTCTTCAGTCACTTTCGTTAGTCGCCATTTTTGACCTATCTCAGGGCGTTCGGATGGATGATAAGTGTATTCATGTATAACACCTTTTTCTCACTTTCATCACGATGAAGACTTTCTCTTCAGCTCGTTTGAAACACCTTGAAATTTAGGGGAAAGAGTAGGTGCGGTCAGGAGTAGCATGAGATGTCTGGATGCGAGAATTGACGCGCTGCAGTGTACTTCCAGCATTGACCACTGAGTCCGTGTGACTCATTCTTTTCGTAATCGGATGATCATTATGAGACTTCATCGGAGACCTTTGGATGAACCAAGGTGAGCCAACAGCTCTCCTATTCCTGAGAAGGCAATACGCCGTATCTGATGCAGGAATGATCGCTTAGCGATCAGAGTTCCTTCCCTTTTTTGCAACTGCATCAAGAGCACACGAGTGGGTGGTCCGAGTCCAAGCACCGCTTCAATGATGTCTTCGTGGATTTGACCGAAAGTAAGAAAAACATCCTTTCCAAGTACACCGTCAAAACAGCTAAGAGAAGCGAACGAAACTGCGTGGTATAGAGTGTCGAAGAAGCATCCTTGCGGTGCTGCAGTGATAAATACACCACCGCCATTGACTTGAGAAAACGTCGATGGAGCGGTGGGAGAGTTCAGATTGGGCAAAATTCCTAAGGTAGCCATCTGGAGCTCCATGGTGAGATGCAGCTTATCCCGAACGACACCGCTCTGGTTTGTCCGATAAGTCCACGGGTGAGCATCGACTCTATCAAATGTTAATGCGCCTTCCTAAATGGAAATAGAAAGGGTGAACCTGATGAGAATTTGATGAGGGGTTGAATTCTCGTTCGATGCTAACTTCAATGCTGCCTGTTTTCCTGCGTAAAACAAACCCAAAAGGTTGAGACGTTGAGGGACGAGCCCCTTGGCCAAAAGAAACTTGAAGCCTGACATTGATATGTTCAAAGCTCGAGAAAGGGGGCATTAGGTATGTTTGGTGTGGGTATTAAGGATGATGAATTAGCCATCGCACGGATCAGATACTCACTCACGGTGAGATGCCACTAAATAAACCCGGAAGATGGTGTTGCTCAAGCACCATAGTAGACGAAATGGTAAGTCTCTATGGCCGGCGAGGGCAAAGTTGGTATATGTGTGTATGTAGGTATACGTTCATTTCATTGACTCGCGCAGTCGAAGTTGAGGAGACCATTGGCGAACGTAGTGAATTGGTATTGATGGGCAGAGATTCGCCGACATCAGATCTTCAACCGTCAGCTCTGTGGACATTCGCGACCACTTCGTATTCTCACAGTCAAGGAGCGTGTGAATCACTTCTTGGCCTATACCAATGACCGATTACAGTGAGACAAATCTTGGTGCAGCCCCAAAACTCTTCACTTACCTGGCGGCAGTAGGAGACAAGTAGAAGCGAAGTCCTTGATGTTCGATGAACGTAGTACACCACAGGTACAATAGTAGGTAGCGAGGAGTGCAATGGCATCAACGCAATGAAAACGAAGAGGATCTTGGAGAGGAGTAGAGTTTGTTTACCGCGCCACTCTGCCGACCGAGGGGTAGGATGTAGAATCACGAATCAAGATAGCAGTGGGCTGTCACGTTGGGGGAGACCAGGGCTCATGATCGTGTTGATGGAGGGTGAAGAGAGAGAGAGAGAGGGAGAGAGAGAGAGAGAGAAAGCCGCGTTGACAGGCAGTGAATGCGGGAATGGAGAAGGAAGTCGAAGCTTTCAAGAGTGAATGACGTAGGGAGTGGATCAGCTCAGCGGATCATCTCATAATCTCGAATTGATCATAGGTTTTCTGGAAATCATGCTGGAACAGAAAAATTATTTGTAGAAGAGAGTCTTGACCTTTGAATACTTGTCTATATAATTTCCAGATTTAATGAATGTGTGGCAGTAGACATCAACATGAGCCTCATCTCCACCGTTACTGCTTGTAAGGCCAAGCCCGCGCCCTCACCACTGTCCAAAGTCGTTGGACATTGCTACTCACGTTGCTACTCCATACTCATGCGGTCTCTCACCAACATCAGCCAGAGCCATCATGGCCTCGGCGGTAGGGCCGGGCCACTTTTCACGGATATACGCCGCAACCATATCCTGTCCATTGGTGAAGGCGCCTTTGACATGCAAGTCTCATGTCAGCTGAAGCTTCTTGAGCATCATGTTGCATGAAGACAGGAGACTTACCACTACTCCAAAGATTGCCATCACTGACCCACCTCTTAGTCTCCCAAATCGCCTCCGGAAACTTCTTCTGCAGCTCCGACACCAACGGCTTCGGACCGGTAACCCTCCTCCCCTTCAAAACTCCGGCGCAGCCAGTCGGGTATATCCCCGTGCAAACACTCAGTACATCCGTCCCGTTGTCAAAATGCCCCTCGATGAAGCCGTTCAGCGCATCTGTCGGCTTATACGCGGAAGGGTCAGGTCCAGGAATCAATAGGATATCAAGCGTCTTCTCTCCACCTTTCTTTGCAGGAGCACAAATCTTGTCAGAGATAGAGGCATCGACGCGCAATCCTACATTTGCAGTACATTCTTGGAGTGTATTGGGGCCGGCTTGGTTGATGTAGAGGATTTCCATGGGGACGGCGCCGGCTTTGAGAGGCGGGGGCAGGAAGGAGAGGGTGGAGACGTAGGGTTCAGAGAGCATGCCGAAGAGATCGATAGGGGAAAGGTCGAGGAGTTCGACGGTGTCGATGAGGAGAACACCGATGCGAATTGTGGGTTTGGAAGCCATTGCTGAGCCTGACAGTTGTGGGATGAGTTGGTTTGAAGGTACTCACTCGATGGTGTTTGGGATCTTGAAGGAGATGAAGGTTTTTATAGCATTCCAACTGTCTCGCGTCGGTGTCTGAAAAGCCCGAACTGCGGAACGAACTGCCATGGCAATCAGGCAGCACTTTCTGGACGATAGATTGTAATTGCAGAGGAAGAGATTCTCGACGTTAGCACCTTCCTTTTCGCATACCCATGTCAACAAAGACGGTGTGAGATTGTTTCGATTGATGTTTAGGGAGCACGATTCCACTGGACGAGATGAGAGTTTCCCAAGAATGGATAAGACAGAAGCCACAAGATTGTTGATAGTGAGCATTTTGCATCAAATGTCAAAGGAGAAGTTCAAAATTCCAGATTGTGATACTAGGCAACCATATTCGATTGGACGACAGTGGTCCAACGACAAGCCACGAGGATCGAGGGCGAATCCTACAAGCCAAACTCAGGGATACACCTTTCATCTCGTGCAAATCTATGTTTGCTTGAAAATTCGCCGGTCTGTTCCTTACGCCAAAACAAGCGGCACGCTGTCAGCGAAACTTGCTCAAACAGCGCCCATGCATCAATCATTCGATAGGCCGTTTCGATTTGCGGTCATGACATAAGTATAGTAGCTAGATTTGGTGAATATCAATGTCCAGCTACAGGAACAGTGAGGAAAAAGGGGAGAAATGCGGAGTGAAAGGGCTTGGAGAATTGAGGGCGAAGTGACAAGATCAAAAAAACCTCCTTTCTTCTTTTTTTTTTTTTTTTTTTTTTTTTTATAATTTTTTTTTTTTTTTTTTTTTTTTTTTAATTTTTTTTTTTTTTTTTTTTTTTTTTTTTTTTTCTCTTTTTTTTTTTTTTTTTTTTTTTTTTTTTTTTTTTAAATTTTTTTTTTTTTTTTTTTTTTTTTTTTTTTTTTTTTTTTTTTTTTTTTTTTTTTTTTTTTTTTTTTTTTTTGTTTTTTTTTTTTTTTTTTTTTTTTTTTTTTTTTTTTTTTTTTTTGTTTTTTTTTTTTTTTTTTCCCCCCTTCTTTTGGCGGGATATTTTTTTTTAAAAAAAATCCCCCTATACGCCAGCGTGCCCAACTCTTACTTAAATTTTATTAGCGACCTAAAGCCGTAGCTGCGGATACCTGTTCCAGTGTATCGACGGCGTATCGATGAAAGCGGAACCTTGCTATCTATGGTGACACCGTGATCCCTCGTAATAGATATATTCACAAGGGCGATGCCGCAGCCTCTCACCTGCTGCTTTAAACGCTCTTCTTGACTATCAGCGTTAAAAGCCGTGGCTGTATCAAGACGAATTGACGGTCTTTCAGAACGATTTTGAAGGATTTCTAAAGTATACAATCGATGGCTATGATAGATTTACGGTGGAGCGTTTCAAGTAGAGCACTGCAGGCTACATATTTAACGGCCAAGTTGATATATTTGAACGAGATTTGGAGCATTTGACTGTGGAGATAATAGAGAGTTACAATGAAATACTACGTAATATTAATCAAAATCCTTCACCTTCTCTATGATCTTTACAAGAGTGGCAAGTACGTTCTCTACAATTTTCTATGAATGGCGCTAACTAACAAAAAGTCGGAGGCGGAGCTGAATCAGTTTTGCCAAGCATTCTTATTTAATTTGCAATTCATAATTGGCACTGAGATTATCACACACACACCATCAAAAGTAGTACTGAATAGATAAATCTTCTCCCATATCGTATTCTACCACCTTCCTTATTATATTTAAAGCTTCTATATATCTCGCTTAGCCAATTTCTATTATTTCGAAATGCCCCTCGCAACGATTAAGCATAGTGCTATGGGAGTCTATATCTTTGAGGCGGATATGAGGGAGTTGTTAGCAACTCAGCTAAAAAAAGCCGGGGGTGTCTGCGCTTTACAGCCAGACACCCCTATTTGGACCTAAATAGGGCCCCGTAGGGCCCTCGTAGGGACGTCGCAGGGCCCCCGTGGGGGCTGCTGCTAACAAGAGTTAAATAGGGCTCTTAATGAGTGCGATATTCAGAGAGATTTTGAAGACTAAACTACATTTGCTGTTGCTGCTATTGCCCCAGAGTTATTAAGGCCTTCGCCTGTCGCTATTAAGGCTTGAATATCTTTAAGTCTGTCTTAAAGCCTCTGGCTAAAGTATTAGGAACCCCCAATTGTATAGCAACACGATATATAGTGGATGTAGAGTCCTATTACGAGCGTATCCTTAACACACCACTCAGCCCTATAGCTAGCGGGCCTTGGCCGAGACATCCCCTATCATATCATGCCTTCTTTTCATCTATATAATTCGATAGCCTTATTATTCTTAATCTACCTCACTTATACTAATATCGTATTTATACTAATTCTAACATTATAATAAAGCTTCTTTATATACCCCTCGGCGAAGAAAATTAACGGGTTTTTTACTTTCTACTCGAAGTAAGCGATCGAGTCTAATAAAGAAAACGCTAGGTATTTCTATTATATAGAAGCTCTACTATATATTTAAATTATTAAATATCTATATTATTCGAAAGAATTTATATTAGATAGTCTTTATTATTAACGATAGTCTAATTTATTAAAAAACGAGTCCTCTATATCGAATATAAAAAATCCTTCTTCGCTCTATTTCTCGTAAAAAAGTCTATTATTAGCTAATACACCTCCGGCGAACTTTCTATCACTCGAAAAAATACTATTTAAAGTACTTATAGTCTTTACGACGACTTAATCGATTAAGAAATAAGTATAATAAAACCTCTCGAGCGTTATAGTTAAACTTTAACTTTTAATATAAAGATTTATTATTTTTCTTAACTCGTATATATCTTTATAATACTCATATAAAAACTTTATTATATTAAGTTTAATATAACTAAAATTACTACTCTATCTACTTCTAATAAGAAAGAATTAGATCGAATTATAAAATATTAGAAAAGAGACGTCTAGATTAATATAAGAAAGAAGAGATTTAAATAGCGTAATATTCTTTTTTAGAGTATATCTTTACTATTAGAGTATTAGTTAATAAAAATTAAGTATTATATAGCTATTAATTACCTTTTAAGCGATATAAAAATTACTTTATATACGATATTTAGTCTTATATAGATTACTACTATCTAGAATATACTTTATAAAAATATTAATTTATATATCTCTCTATAGAGTACTTTAGATTCTATCTAAAAGCCTATCGATATTTCGAAGCTAAAAATCTTCGTCGCTATTATAATCTATATAAGAATCTTTTATTTTTCTACTATTTATAATTATTAAAAGACTAATAAAATTACTTTAATAGCTTTATTAATTACTAGAAATATAACTCGAAATCGCTATATTCTTCTTCGAAAATTTATTTATTACTTAGACTCTATCGAAGAGAACTTTAGAATTATTAAAATAGATAGATATAAATAGTCTATATAATATAAAAAGCTTTAGTTATTTATAAGTAAGATACGAAGTAATTAAAAGAAGCTTTATACCCCGAGTTCTTTTATTGTAATTAATAAATATATAATTAAGAAGATGGGATATATATATTATTTTATAATAGCTTTAGATAAGTTAATTAAGAAGGGATATAAGCTATTCGTAATTAACGATAAGAACTATCTCTATAATTATATCTAATATTCTTCTATATAGAGTTTTAAGAATAGATTAAAAGTTAAAAGTCTTAAAGATATATTAGTTATAATATTTAAATTAGTTATTAATATACTATTCTATAACTCTATTCTCTTTATAAATAACTATTTTATCGAATCTAAGCTAGCTATAATTTTAAAAGATAGAGAAATTATAATATATAAAATTATAAAGCTAAATCGATTAGATCTTTTAAAATTACTTATAGAGATAAAATAAGTCTTTATAAGGAATATTCTATACGAAGTTCTCGCTATAGTAATTTAGAATAATATATTAATAGTAATCTAATAAGATAATAATCTTATTCTAGCTCTAATTACTATATATAATATAAGAGAGATTAATAACTCTATCTTTAAAAAGAGAAAATATCTTAATAAGACTAGTATAAATAGTTATATAATTCTATCTACTTTTAAAGAGAATAATTAGAATATATAAAAGAAGAAGTTTTAAGTTTTTAAGCTTTTCTACTACTATAATAAGTATATAGAGAAGATTAATCGATTTAATACTCTAGTAACTATATATTCTTTTTAGCGAGCTTATAAATAAAATTAGATACCTCTACTTTATTAATATTTAAATAAAAGTCTTTCGAATACCTTTAAGCTCTATAAATTAATAGAAACGTTTCGTTAAAAGTATTAGAAGTTTCTCGAGCTAATAGTAATAGAATTAATTAAAGAAGGTAGAGAAGATATTCGATCTCGGCCGCCTCCCACCTTAATTATTACTCTATTAAAACTATTATAAGATAATTATAACTAATAAGATTTAAATACTATTCGATAGTATCTTATATATTATTTCTAAATTATTCGATATTTAGAAGAGATTTTTTAATAGAGAAATTAGTAGTAATAATAGTAAGAGAGGTATTAAAGATTAGAGGGGATAATACGCTATATATAAAGTCTCTTTATATCGTAAAGAAAACTATATAGAACGATTTCATAATAGAAAGAATTAAATAGAGTCTATAGAATAAATCTAAATTATTAAGTATAGATTATATAGTAGTTATAAAGTAATAGTATTAATCTATTAATATATTTATAATAAAATAAGTTAAGAAAGTTAATTATTTCTTAAATTCTACGATAATCTTATTAAGTATATCGAATATAATTTTAAGAATAATAGTCTTAACGATCTTAGAAATAATAGTCTAATAAACGATATATTAAAGAAATCGAAACTTCGTTTCTATAACTTAATTTATCTAATAATAAGAGATTAAACTACGTCTAAGTTAAAGAAATATATTATAAAAATATAACTTTAATATTAATAATCTACTAAGAAATTTATTAAAAAGAAAGCTAAAAAATTCGCGATATAATATATAAAAGTAAAGGCCGAGGCTAATATAAAGAAGAGTATCTTAATTATAACTCGTTTTACTTTTAATATAAAGAGTTTAAGTTTTATTAAGATAGAGAATCTTATAGATAAGAATTAGACTTATATATAAAAGTATAATAAATATATTAATCTCGATATAAATAGCGAGAAGAGATATAAGCTTAATTATTAGAGCTATCTATGATTAGAAACGTAGTAAATTTATTAAATAAAAAAATATAGTCGAAATTAGCGTAGATATCGGCAAATTCTCGAATATCGCGTTTTTAAACGAATTAAAATTATTCGATATCTTTAGAATAGCTCTATTTTTTATATTTAAAAATCGATTTCTTAGACTTATATTACTAAATAATTATCTTATATTAAATTTATTAATTAAACCTTTCTTATTATTATATATATAAACGTTTTTCTAAGTTATAATATATTATTTATAAATCTTACTATCGTCGTTAATAATCTTAATTATTATCGACTAAATAATATTCTATAGAGAAACTTATATTAGATTATTTAATATTAATTTAAGATATTAACGTTTACGACTCGATTCGATTTAAGAGATCTCGACTAATTAAATTATATTATTTTATTAATTTCTTCTTTATTATAAATATAAAATTAAATAGCTATCGTATAATAAATTCTTTTTCGATTATTATTTATTTAATTCTTTATAAATTTATATTAAATTAAAAGCCCCTTAATATTACGATAAAGTGCTATTAATAACGCGTTAGTGGAATCTCCGGAACGCGATATCGCTATCGTTGTCGCCGTCGGAGAAAGATACTAACTTGACCTGGTATACTAGCATCAAAAGTTCTTTGTTTTTATAGATTTTCAGCGAGCACAACACATATACATGCGATGGAATTATTAAGTTCTTTCGAAGCCCTATAGTAAGCAAGAACTTAAAGAATCTTGCTGATACGCAGGCAAAATATGACTACATCTCCGGGATCTCAATCATCTCCAGCCAAGGCCTGCTGGGACTATGGATGTTTGGAGACATAAGGCAAGCAATGGGCCTACATCTCCGGTCTACCAGCCATGGGGGCCATGGCTATTTGAGAGGGGGGGTAGTGTTACGAGCGTACCCTTGACACACCACTCAGCCCTATGGCTAGCGGGCCTTGGCGGAGGCATCCCCTACCATATCATGCCTCTCCCCTTTTTTTTTTTTTTTTTTTTTTTTTTTTTTTTTTTTTTTCTTTTTTTTTTTTTTTTTTTTTTTTTTTTTTTTTTTTTTTTTTTTTTTTTTTTTTTTTTTTTTTTTTTTTTTTTTTTTTTTTTTTTTTTTGGGGGGGGGGGGGCGTGTTGGTTGGTTGTTTTTTTTTTTTTATAAAAAAAAAAAAAAAAGATTAGGGGAAGGTTTTATAGAGGGATTTTATTTTTATTTGGGGGGGGGGGGGGGGGGGTGGGGGGGGGGGGTTTTTTTTTTTTTTTTTTTTTTTTTTTTTGTGTGTTTTTTTTTTTTTTTTTGTTTTTTTTTATTTTTTTTTTTTTCCTCTTAAAAAAAAAATTGGGTTTTTTTTGGGGGGGCCCCCCCCCCGTTTTTTTTTTCCCCTTTTCTAATTTTTTTTTTTTGGGGGCCCCCCTTCAATTCCGTGGGTTTTTTCCCGTATAATCTAATCGTATGGGAACACGCTATACTTAGTATGGGTCACCCTAACGCTAAGGTTATCCTAATACCAATTTTTTTAATAATTGAAATTATTTATTCTCTATCTATCTACTATAATTATAATTATATCTAACTTATATATCGTTATTTAGAAATATATTTAGAAGATCTTAGCTATTATTATCTTCGAAATAAAGTTTAAAGTTACTCGATTAATTATTAAATTTAACGTATTCTATAATTAGCTTCTAAATCGTTATAATAAAATTTCTCTTAAAGATAATTACTCTTACGCGCTTATAGATTATAAAGAATAAACTCTTTATTAATATATATAATAACTTAATAAATTAGAAATATCTTATCGTCGTTCGATACTTAAAAGAGCTATAAACTCTATACTTCGCGAGCGCTTTAGTTCTATTAAGTACGTAGGTAATTATTAATTCACGCGATTTTTAAAGCGTAATTCTTAATATAAAATATGTAAATAAAAGTCTTTAATATCTTAATGAAAGAATATATATAAATTAGAAGCTATTTAGAACTAATTTTAACGTTTTTAGAGTATTTATTAAGAGTTTAAAGTATAAATAGAGAATATCTATAATTTTAATAAGACTGAATTTCGAATTAGAGTAAGTAAGAGTTAATGAATTATTATAAAAGAAAGAGAACTTTTATTTTATTAAACGAATGCGGATAATAGAGAGTATATTATATTAATTAAGTATATTAGTAGCTTAGATTATACGCTTCCCCCGATATTAATTTTAATTAAAAAATAATATCTTAATAATTAATTTTAAGAGAGTCTTAATCTCGATACTCTATAAGATATTAATAATATCGAATATATAAACGATAATCTATATAAGGCCTGAATTAAGCATTTTAATTATTTTACGAAGAGAAGACGTATAAAAATATATAGATTATTACTATTTAATAACTATAATAGTTATCTTACTAGAGAAGTATTTAAATATATAAAGAATAATAATATTATTTTATTCTATTTACTTTTATACTCTTTATATCTATATTAGCTATTAAATATAGATGTCTTTTAATTATTTAAATATTAATATATTAATATAATTAATATCGTAATACGTTAAGCTAGCGATAATTATTTAAAACTCGATTTTTTAATTAATTTTTAAGTAATTTATAATCGAATCTTTACTAGATTAACTATTATATTTAAATAGCGAGAAATAAACCTTTTTCTCTATAATTCTACTATTATTTTAAATTATTTAACTAGATTTTAGCGGAGAGACTTTTCGCTAAGAGATAAGACTTTAGAGTAAGAGATATTCGATCTTAAAGACTAGCTAATATTATATACTTATTATTAAGTTATATAGTATAAAAAGAAATTATAAGATATATATTTAATCGATTAATCGCTTAATAGATATATTTATAGAGTAGAAGCGAAGATACTTTTAAATCTTCTCGTTAAGCGAGAATTAAATATTATTTAATAGATTATAATAGCTTAAATAGCTTATAAAGTAGAGTTTAATACGATAATTTAGAAGAAAGATATTATCTACTCTTATTAAATCTAAAATAAGATTATTATATATAAGAAAACGAAGATTAAAAAGACTTTAAAAGACTTTAGAGTAAGTAAATATCTAAGAGTCTCGAGTATATAATATATTTAGAAATAAGAAGATTAAGTAATTTAAGGTTATTATAATGAGAACTAGATAGTTAATTAAGATTAGAAGAATTAAAGAGACTAAAATAGATAATAATAGTTTATAATATATATATATATGGGTGGGTAGGTAAAATAATTGAAAAAATCTGTATTGGGGCGGCCTTAGCGTTGGGGTGGCCAAAATAATTTTTTTTTTTTTTTTTTTTATTTTTTTTTTTTTTTTTTTTTTGTTTTTTTTTTTTTATATTTTTTTTTTTTTTTTGGTTGGTTTTTTTTTTTTTTTTTTTTTTTTAAAAAAATAATTTTTTTTTTTTTTTTTTTTTAATTTTTTTTAAAAAAAACCAAAAACCCCCCCCCTCTTTTTTTGGGGGTGGGGGGAAGAAACCCTTTTTTTTTTTTTTTTTCCCCCCTGAATGGGGGTTTTCCAAGGAGGGACATGAAAACTACTCTACCAAAAGCTAAGCGAAGCTGTGCCAGCGGCTGAGGTGTGTGGCTGAGGCGGTGCAACTCTGGTAGTAGGCTTGCTTAACTCAAGGACATATATTACTCTACACAATTCCCACTCAAAACTGAGCACGAAGTATCCTTTGTTGTCCAACGTTAAGGTCCATCCGAATCGTTCATCTTCTCGCTCCTCCTTTTCTTTTAACACGCCCTGAGCTTCATCTGACATTAATCAACATCAAAGCTTTTCCTTTCTGAGCACGTGACGCGATAAGGCTTCCGGCCCAGCAGAGAACTCCCATCAATGTATCCCTCATCCCAGGCAATAGACAGAAAGATGCAGGAAGAACCCGGAGATCAGGGCACAGACTCCTGGCTAAGCGGCGGCTATTGGAGAACAAAGCTGCCATGGCGTCAGAAGGCAGCATCCAAGCCTGCAGTATGGTGGTGAATCATGATCTTGAGCCTCGAAAGCTGACGGGTAACAGCAATCCTTGGCCGACAACTCGTCTATACCCTTCTATTCAAGCTTAAGCGCTGGCCCTTCCGAAGCTCCGCCACCATATGAAGACCTCCGAGAGCAACCAACATCGCTTGTGGAGAAGGATGGAAAGACACCCAGAGACAATACAGATCAAAAAGCTAAACACGATCTGGAGAGCGGAACCCACTCACGCTTCAATGCACCCGCCAACCGTCATGGATGGCAAACAAGGAAAGCGTCTGTCACTTGCTCACTTAGCAGAGACAGGAAAGCTACCAGCGCTGCGGAAAATTGGGCGCGGAGGCTCTGATGAGACGTTAGCATCTCTGGACAAATCTTGGCGATATCATCGACAAGAGTTCGGTTCCACGGACACCAAGACTGTTGCCCGTCTCTTTGACTTGTGCCGATGCTGGAACACTTTGGGTATGCTTCGTGATGCTGTGGAGACAGAAGCACCGCAGGGCTTATCTTGGACGATCAAAGCCCGTAACACCGAATTCTTCGATTTCCTCTTGCAACGGCAAGTCGATGTTGATCGACCGGACGAGGAAGGCAAAACTCCATTGTTTCATGCTTCAACGTTAGGCAAGGCTTTCATTGTAAGAAGATTGCTTGACGCTGGAGCCAATGTACATTGCACCGCGGGTAGTGTTACCCCTCTCCACGTTTCAGCCGAGAAGAACTATACCTCAATTGTAGACTATCTCCTGGAAGCCGGCGCAAATGTCAATGCGCTGAACTCGAAGGGTAATACCGCGCTATACTGGGCCAGTAACAATGGGAATCTAGAAATGGTTAGGAAACTTTTGGGCAAAGGCGGTCAAGCAAATCATACCGCTCCGTCAACCATCTCTCCGCTTCACGTTGCCGCAGCTCGAGGTCACGTGGAGATCATTGAGGTCTTATTGGATGCCGGGGCGGATCTCAACGCACGAAACTTTGAAATGATATTAGTGCTTGTAGCGATCTCATACTAGCAAGAACGAGTCCTTGCCTGTCTGCTCACTCGGGGTGCGATAGCAAACCCCAGCTTGGGCGAAAAATTTGCGCTACACTTTGCTGCCGGAAAAGGATCACGAAGCCTTGTTACTCTGCTTCTGGATGCCGGAGTTGGAGTAAACACGACGAGCGCTAAGGGTCATACGGCTCTTCACATAGCCGCAGCCTTGGGGAACGAAGACCTCGTCGACAGACTGCTGGCGAGATCAGCCTCCGTCAATTTGAAGTCGCTGTCTGGTTTCACGGCCTTGCACGACGCCTCATTGGCGGGCCACATCGTTGTGGTTAAACAGCTTTTATACGCGGGTGCTAACATTGTATTTACCACCTACACTGGTTATACCGCTCTGCACTTTGCCGCGGAGAAAGGCTCTCTCGACGTAGTGCAGCGACTCATGGAGGCCGGGTCGGATGTCAATGCCCAGTCAATCAGAAAGTGGACCCCGCTGCTGTATGCGTGCAGTGAAAAGCATTTAGCTGTTATCGAATTTCTTCTCGACCACGATGCTAACCCTAATCTGTTCGATTATTAAAGCGTCTCGCCGTTGATTATCGCGAGCGAAAAAGGGGACTTGGGCATAGTGAGGAAGCTTGTCTGCGATTATTCCGCAAACGTCAATAGCCAGTCGGTGAGTAGCGTTACTACTCTTCACATGGCAGCCCAGGACGGTTATACATCTGTCGTGAGCTTCCTTCTGAATAACGACGCGGACGCAAACATGTTGTTCTTGGGAACACGACGCCATTGGCGATGGCTACCTGGCATTTACACACTGATGTCATCAACCATTTAATCCCGGTCACAAAAGATCCCTATCTGTTGGATTGCTTCGGCTGGAACAGCATCGACTGGGCGACAGCAGACCCATCGGTGCTCTCTAAATTCCCCCTCGAAACCCGACCCGAGGAATACATCCCCACCAGCGTAGCAACACGCAAATCTCACGTACGTCGGAACATCAGCAATCTAGCGCGCGCAATGCTCCAAGCCAACGTCGCAAACGACAACCGACTTCCCGTCCTGGGCGAATATCTGCTGATCATGCACGACACGACCGACGCCGAACATGCATTCCAGCTCAACGTACACCTGTACGCCACCACGGCGGAGGGACCACTGGCGTATTGGCTCGCGTGCAACTCGTGCGAGACCGATATCACGGGCAATCTCTACATCTGTCTCACGTGCGCCGACACAGCCTTGTGCGAGGATTGCATAACGAAGTACAAAGACAAGACGAAGGAGATGAGGTCCTGTAAGGATCACGTGTATCATGGCATCTTGTCGCATCGGCATTAGGAAGGCGGGTACGGCAAGCGGCCGTCGCAGCTTGTGAATACGAGGGGCCAAAGTGTGGATGAGTGGTTGAGACACGTTCTGGTTGCTTATGGCGGATGAGAGATTCAATGAACCTCTTTTTTATAACTCGAGTCCGGACGTTTCCTTGTCCTATCGCTATTGAATTTCCTTCCTGTCGCCGAACAATTCCGACAAGGCGCAAAGGACGGACGTCTCGCGCAACGCAAGGGAAACAAATGCGTACCAGCCCAGCAGGAGCCCTTCAATCCTACCAGGCGTATCTATATCAGAGCGGCACTCACTCACTCACTCACTCACTCACTCAATCAAAACCGCCTGTATGATTCGCGTCGTATTCTGTCCGCCGAGTATCACATCCCACCCTCGACCTTTCTTCCTATCATCCCTCAGCCTTGGATCCTCTCGAAGGCTGTGCTATGACGGATCATGATTAGTAGGCAAAGTAGAGATGTATCAAGGCAAACTACTAGCGAGGGCCGGACTAGCTAAATAAGCTATACAAATAGTCCATAGTCCGTCAAAGCCTGACTAGTCTAGACAATTAGACTAGTCCCGGACTATAGTCTACTCATACAAAGACTCTTCCAAAGCTTCCATGCTGCGGAGGCTAGGACCCAGCGATCAAATGGGTTGATAGCAATAGTAGGGGCCTCCGATAGCTCGGAATCGCTGTTATTGTGTGCCATAATGATATATTTATTGAATAAAGAATGACTGTTCATGTGGCGTCCTAAAATACGCCCACTAGACTCAAATATCACGCTTACAAATCGATTATTGGACTATTAGAACTGATAGTCCTAGACTAGTCTATCAAATACCTGGACTAGTCTAGGACTATTAACAAAATCATCGGACTGGTCTGGACTATTGGTCCAGTAGACTAGTCCAGACTAATAGTCCGATAAATAGTCCAGGACTATCGGGCGCCTAGTTGTATGTATTTAGATATAATCGATTGATGATGAACCGATTAATCGATCCATTCATCGAAAGCCATGCTTCCTCCCACGCAGATAGATAGATAACAAAGAGCACGCACGCACGCCCTTTCTTTGTTTCCCTTTTGAGTTATCCCCAAGTTCGCCACTGACAGTTTCTGCACACTCTTTCGCTTCGCGGGCGCCGGGAGTTGAGATGTGGTATATATAGGGTTGCACGTTGCCTCCTTAAAGATGTCGTTGTCGTTGTCGTTGATGGCGTTGGTTACTAATTGGCGAAGCGGGGCTTTGGCGGCGGGATGGATGGGCGGAGGAGGAGGGGAGGGGATTATGTTGGAGCTTTCATCACTTGTGTCTTTAATTTTCCCGGCCGTAGTGTGACGGGTTGACGTTGCCTTGTCAGATTGTGTAAGCCATGTCGAGGTATCTGTACGTGGTGGTCCAAATAGAGAAAATCTCGGTGCTCGACTTCACCTCTGAGACTCACACGTGCGTGTGTGTGTGGTGAGATGTGGGATTCTCGTCTCCGCCCGATAGAGATGAATCAAAAGCTAGGTAGGAGCCTGATATGTATACTTCGACGTCGATAACTGACTCACTGTCTCTCCTCCGCTTACTCGTCCGACCGAGGGCTTGTCTATCTATCTCTCGATATGAAGCGGGCGCAGACTCGATGGCAAAATCCATCAAGCCCCCCCCTTCTCTTTACATAAACAGATGCCTGCTCCGCGCAAGTAAGCCTCGAGGACTTCCGTCCGAGCGGATGCATCGGAAATACCATGGCCGTGAGAGGCATTCCACAAGTACCGAGGGGAAGAATCCGACGAGTAATTATCGGACCCCTAACTCTCCCCACAGCAGCAGTGAAGGAAGACCCCTAGCGTTCGAAGCGTTAGCGAACCCCCCCGCCCCCCACAGATTCCGAGCCGTTGCCACCGTCAGAAAGTGGGTATGGGACTTATTCCTGGATCGGATCTCGATGCGACAGAGGCCTCTTACTTTTTTTTTTTTTTTTTTTTTTAATCAAAATCCAGTCGCGGTCGCGGTCACCCGGGCGTTGTTTCGACTCCTGAAGAATCGATTGGAATGAAACCACACGCGCCGGAAATCGTCACCGCTGGTCCAGTCCCAGGGATACGGATGGGGCTTTCCGACGCGAATGTCCTCGGGACTGCCCCGCCGCCTGGGCTGACGAGTATGCCGTTGGTTGGCGCGGAGCGGGGTTTGAAAGAGGCGGGCGCTATCGGGTGTTGTTTCTTTCACCGATGACGACGCCTGCCTCCTAAGTGTGTTGAGACAAAGTGAGCTATCTTGGGCCTGTTGCTACGGAAAATACCATCATCTCTACGGCGACTACTCAATCCGGAATCCTTCGGTATAAAGAAAGATCAAGACTTGTAGAGCGAAGACCGGGTTCAATCAAGCCGCTTGCGCTATGTCTCTCTCGAAAACGGTTCTTTACACTTTGTTTTTAATAACCGCCTTCCACACACCTGCAAGACCTTAGTACGGATGGCTAGATCATAGGCAAAGCCCTGGCGGGGCCATTCGGTGCGTGGTTTCATATGCGAGTTTGCAACCCACGGTGAATCTGCTGCCGGCGTTGTGCATGAGTTGCGAGATCAGTGCACACAACGGGGTGTAGAACACGCTTATTTTCTTACAAACGCTACGCCAAATGCGGTGTGTCCGTCCTGGATGCCACTTTTTAACATGGCAGTTGGAATCGAGGGTGCATTGAGCATTCATTCTCCCATGAGGTATCGTCTCGCAGCGGCTGCACCATGATGTCGTACGTCGACCCGTTTGTGGGACTCGTGCGACGAGGACGTTTCGACATATTTAATCATGAAGTTGTTAAGCTCGCCATCTTTGATCGTATGTGGAGGCTCGACTGTACTACACTGGCGATGCCAGGAGGATGATCTTTCGACGAGGCGGATTTCCCAATCCAGGCCATCACACACCCGAGACTGATCCTCTCACCTCAAGCCCTACGAGTCCATCCGGCTGATCCTTCCTGGGAGCCAATACCGATCATTGATTTCTTCATGAACATCGCACCTAGCGTCCAAGCCCCGGAGAATGAGCCGTGGAGGGTGCTCGGGACGAGTTTTCGGACTATGTATGTTAGAGGAAGAATCTGATGAAGGGTTGAACGGGTTCGATGCATTCAGAGCTCTGCTCTGTATCCCTTGGCCTGGCTGCTTTAGCCTTTCGAAGCCCGACGGGAGACTTGTACGACCTGCGACTCAACGACTCCAGCACCCTCCTAGCCTGGCTTCTACGGTCTTATGCACCTCTAAGGCTTTTTTTCTAGGGTTCCACCATCATAGCGTCATGCGTCAACACCACCGTGTCTTTGTGGTGATCCGTGGCCACAGCCGCAGCGCCAGATTTTGACTTAGATTCGGGACAGATGAAGGGATGCTAATGTCTTCTTATTAGAAGCTATACGTGTTAGTCGAAGATAATGTATCTTCGGCATAGTTTCCAATGTGGATAACTTGTGGCGATCTATAGGAAATATTCTAGCTCCGCGATTTGAGCTCCAGGCTGAGAAGCTTACAAAGTACCAAGAACCCTCGGCGCTGCTGCTAAACGGTATCATTGTGACCGAGTAAGAATCGCGGTACAAATTCCTCGTCTACATGATGTCACACCAGATCTTTTCAAGACGAGTCCATTAAACTCAAAATCAGGGAGTGAGAATCACGTATAATCGAGTACATTGACAAGCTTGAATATCATGGGATGCGACGCCGGTCAGGGAAAGAGGAGTCTCCAGTCAAGAACCAGCGGCTGGGAACGGTCGTCTTGCGGACGGCCGCTTCCCGACGTCAAATAATTAAACCTTGCTCGATCGTCTACCTTCTAAAGACTGTCCCTTGTCTGGAGTTTCCCGTGACAGCTCAGACAGAAAATCCCTGAAATCAGCAACCACGTTACGGTACCGGCAGTGTTCCTAAACGTAAACACAGTGAATTGATCGGCGAGTATGGAGCATGGATGCGAGGCCTTTCGGCAAGCAAAGGCGCGGAACAGCTCGGGGATGAAGACGCGTACTATAGATTCGGGGATGGCTCGAGGAAGCTAGCTGAGGAGATATATGCACGTAACGCGGGTCATACATTGTCCTTGACTGGATATGGTGAGCACGGCAAAACCTCGTTTACTGTATATGAGGGTGATGTCAATGAGTGGCTCTTGCACCAACCCGCAATGTACTACTGCGTAGGGCAGATGACACCTATTGAACCTGGTCAGCCAACCTAACATCACAGATTACCCCGTTTTGGGAACACTACTTGCGAGATCATCCAATCGAAAGCAAAGCAGTCAGATGGCGGTAAAAGGCTATTCGGGTCGAAACTGTGCTTCTTCTTCTTCTTCTTCTTCTTCTTCTTCTTCTTCCTCTTCTTCTTCTTCCTCTTCTTCTTCTTCCTCTTCTTCTTCTTCTTTTGCGAGAGACGATATTAGTTTACCGCGGCCCTATCTTTGTCCAGCAAAGTCGACAGACTTTCCGGAGACTGTCCAGCTCTCCTGGGAGAACTTTTCTGTGCAACGGCTCAGACTCGTCAGCGCTTCGCAGGGCGTATGACAATTCTTCGATTGGGATCTCGTTGTTCTCGCAAGACACATCGACTGCCACATCTGCTCTCTCGTTTCAGCTCAATCGCCTCTGGCTCGCCGTTGGAGGCTGAAAGTTAGGGCAGCTCATCCAGCGGGAATCGACCCTGAACGGCTCCATTTCGTCTAGATCCGCATCAAATGGAGCCCATTCCTTTGAACTTCAAAAGTAGGTAGGTAGTCGCAAATGGAACATTCAACCTAGCCTGCGTTAAATGCAGTATCTCGTCAAATAACACCTCATTCGGCCACGCTTGGCCACCGTCGGTAATTCACGTAGCTCTCCCATCAACGACAGGGCCGCTTTCCGAACGTAGGGCTAGGGCTCCACCAGGGCCATCCGCGGACCTTCCCATCGACCGCAGCGTGATCAAAACTACCCACGCATCCACCCTCACCAGGCATCTTCCCTCCACGCTCAGACACCCAACGCCAAGCATACGTAACCCTCATACCGCCCCCCACTCCCCAACCAGCACCGCACAGACCCACCCTTCAATCCTTTTCCTACTGTAGGTAAGGTACCTAGGTATGATAGTTTTAAGGTACCCTAGCCCCCCCGTGACTCATAGGCCCGCCAAATCCGTCCAGGAATCCTGTACGTACTCTACTCTACCTTAGGTAGAGTCTTGCTGTATACATATGTACCTACCGACTAGCACCTACATGACACCCCCCCTACCCCTCCAGAACAAAAAACCAAAACCCGTGCACCCCCCTCCCTCTCAAACCCCCAAAACGCCGACGCGACCGATCTCATCTCCCCATCCCGATCTCATCGAGAAATATGAAAAAACCCCCGATGCTCGATCGGCCTAGCAGGGCCCCCCCCCCCACGCATGCATGCACGCCTGTTCTCCACTCTTTTTTCCGCAGTAGTGTACCTAGAACTTATACGCGCTCCTCTGCCCTTGGTTCCCCGTGTTCCCAACAGAAAAATGTAGGCATCGTCGATCTTGCCTGGAGGACCTGATGTACGGTACTGTTCTAATGGGGTGATGGGGTGATGGGGTGAGGTGCTTTGGCGGAGATCCGGGGCCAAATGGGAAGTGGCGAGGAGCGAATGTACGAGTATACTGTCTGTTGTGTCGTAATGGGGTGAGGGACTCCGTATGCGGAGATGGGAATTGAAACTGGCAAGGTTGCGGAATGTAAAGTACATTACCTATGTATACTGAAGTGGAAGGCCGTGGATTTGGTGGGATTACGCTACCATGTCGTCGTCGATCTAGGTAGGTACATGGTTGTGTATGTGTGCACATGCGCACGCGCACCCCACGTTTCTCTCTCTCTCTCTCTCTCTCTTTTTTTTTTGGCTTTGGGACTTGGGCCGACGAACGAACGAACGAGTGAACGAACGAACTGACGCTATCGATTACGTGGATACTTATCGATAAGCAAAGGGGGCTGCGTTCGCCTCTTTTCTCCTTAGGTAGGTTACTCTAATAGACTCTCTCGGGCGACAGGCGGCAATTCATTATTAGGCAACAGCGACAACGTGCGCGGGCACGGGGAAGGAATGATGATGGATCAGCATTCGAAACCATAGTATCAATCATATGCCGGATAATGATAACATGAATATGACATCCGATCAATACATTCATTAATATTACTTACTCACTCACTTACCCACCACCCACACAGACATGTCCTCCCTACCCTACCCTACCCTACCCTACTCCACCCTGCTCACCCATCGTCAGTGCGCCCGACTCCGACGCAGGGTCATGGCGCTAATCCACCCCTTTCCTTTCCTTTCCTTTCCTTTCCTTTCCTTTCCTTTCCTGTGCTGACCGCATCCGTCCCCTACATGCACGTCAGATACGGACCGGGGGGGAGGGGCGAGCGGGCGTTGGGCGGCTTGACCCTACCTATTCCGTTCGTTCATCGTTTCGGGGTTGAATGGATGGGGTGGGTAGGGGTAACGCGCGCGCGGTATATTCTTCAGCTGACACCCTTTTTTTTTTCTCTTTTCTTTGGGGCCAGCACGGCGTGAGTTTTTTTCTTGCTTCTCTTATCGTGGGTATACCGTATGGATTGGATCGGAATGGTTTGGAATGGATTGGATTGAGCAGTGGCAGGGTGCACGGGGGAGCCGGCGTCTCCTGTCTTTCTTACTTTTTCTTCCAACTCGGTTTTTTCAAAAAGAGCGAGCGGTCAGTGGTGTACGTACTATTCAGCGGCGAATGGGAAACGGCAGCGAGCACGTGTGGTCTCGTAGCCTAGTTTGTAGTGCCTATTCATGACGTCTACATTTCAATGACATTCATGCCAACATGAGTAGGTAGAATGAACTATTACCTACGGTACATCATTGCCACCATTCTCGTTGAATCAGCATCCGCCGGCGACTTGTGGCTCAAAAGGCGAAATCACACCACGACCATACCGAACTCTCCTACCCCACACCATGCTCCTCCACACATGCGGGGGAAGGTGGCCGCTGCAACTTGCAAGATAAGCACCTCCCCCGGCATTCACCGCCGTTTCGAATTTTCGAGTTTTTCGAGGGGGCACAGGGATATCCTTGTTCAGGGTTTCAGGTGGGGCTGTCTGCTAATTGATGCAGCTTGTACGAGTAGCTTTGGGCGAGGAGGGCCGAAGTCTGGCATGCGACTTGCCGGGGCTGTGGAGACGGACGGGTAATGCATGGTAGAGTGAAGGAAGGCACCTTTGATGGTAGCTAGACGTGTGATTGCTCGGATTGCTTCGAGCAGAAGTTCTATGATGGGCGCTATTCGCCCGGGTAGTTGTATGGGCAGGGAGAAGAAGAAAACGCATGTAGTCTATAGAGGTATTCATTCAAACACTCAATGCGTCCTAGGCTGCAGGCCCAAACCTCCCATCGTGTATTCGCGCGCCTGAAATCGCCTCGCTCGCGAGTTATGCTGCTGTAGCGGAAAAGTCTATTGGGGTGTAAAGCTTGACAAATGAAGAAAAGGTGATGATATAATCCAACGCACGACCCAGTGACGCCTTGCGGACATTTCTCCGTCGTTTCCGCCGTCATGGCTCAGTACCGTTCGGCCAAATCGTTCCCTGCCTGACTGCCTGCGGTGCTCGAGCTGCCACTAGCGAAGCCACTGCTAGGATTGAGCAAGTCTTGTACTGCCACTTTCGGAATCTGCGGAACGGGTAGCTTCCTGTGTGTGCCATCCGTGCGACTCATGATTTCGCTGATCCGGGGGCCGCCGCCGTATGTAGATTGGTTCGTGAGGCTGCCGTAAAGGGGAGTGCCGTCGGCTGAAGGCTCCATTGGGGCGAGAGCCGGTGCGTGCGTGAGGGAGAGGTGGCGGATTCCAGGCAGGTGAAGGCCGTGGTCACCGTAGGGTCGTAAGCGGGGTGAGTGCGCGGGAGTAGCCAGAGGCGTATGATCGGGTGTGGGCGAGAGCGAGTCGTGAGAGAAGGTTGGAGATGAAGGAGCGGTCGAGTTGGGAGACGCAGGCCGCGACCGCTTGAACAAGCGGGGCCTTGAGCTGTCGTCTTCTTCGTTCGAGTGGGACCGGGACATGTTTTGCGAGTAGGCATATTGCGAAAGCGAAGGTAGTCGGTTGGCACTACTGCTACCGTGGATGTAGTATGGGTGGTGGTGGTGATGGTGATGATGGTGGTGCCGAGCGACAGACCCGTGGTTTGGCTGTTGGTCTTCACGCTCAACTTGTGACGCAGCTGTCGCAAGTAGATTGATGTCCATTGGATTGTGTGACAATCCGTTCGGACTCCCTCCGTTACTTCGTGCGTGCGGGTTGAGTGTAGATGGAGTGTTGGCTGAATAAGAGGAGTACGAGTTGGGAGGAGAAACGTTGGGTGAGCCGACTTTGGATGTCGGGGCGGAGCGTGACATGTTGTGCTGCGGAGGAGGCATCATGGACGCAGATACGGCCTGGTCTTGATGGGCGTAGCTTGCCATGGCCGCAGTCTGGTGTGTAGTCTTGTTGCTTCGTCTCGAATTGGGATTATTGTGTATCCGTGAATGACGAGTCAGCTCATCTGACCGACTGAAGCGTTTCGTGCAGCCCGGAAAGGAGCATCCGTGTGGCTTCTCCCCTGTATGTGTTCTTATGTGCCTTGTTTGATGTTCGAGGCGGTGAAAAGCCTTATCGCAGAGAGGGCATTTGTATGGTCGAGGCAGGTCTTGTCCTTTATCGTCTGGAAGGCCTCCGACCAAGGGCGGTAGTGCCCTGACGGCCGCAGACATACCGCCTTCCTGGGTATAACCTCCTCTTCCTTGTTGCTGATCGTATGGATTTTGAGGTTGTGGATTCAGCAGGTTGGAAAATTCCACCGCTGAGCTTGCTCGCTGCATGTGAGGATCTGCGTGGGGGTTTATTGGCGAAAACCGGTAGACGCGACGGCGGGAATCGGGGGTATCTGTATTTTTATTTGAAGACGTAAACGCACACGCACGCGAATGATGAGAGAATGTTTTGAAGCTGTGTAGTGAATGTGGAAAAGGGTCAAGTGGAAGGATTCTCGCAACCGAGCGACTCCGACTCTGTGGATTCTGTGGGGAATGTTGGTTTAATTTTTTTTTTGATTTTCCCAGTCACGTCAGCGAAGGAAAAGCCTCCGGGCAGAATTATGAGGTAACGGTCGCAGCTGCTTTCTCGGAGCGTTTGACGAAGATTTGCCGGACACCAACTGCTAGTGTGTAGATGGCGATCTTGCAGGCTGATTGTACTCGGAATGTTTCAATCTGAGATGAAAGTATCGAGCTTGCTACTCAATATGATAAGGATCATAGACAACTTGTCTCTGTGGAAGTCGAAGACGGAAGGTGTGCAAGGTGTCTTTTGCTTTTTTGCTTCTTCCGTGGTATTGCTGGTATTGCTGCAGGAAGCCTCCAAGACGACAACTGCGAGTCGTTGATCTGCCGGTACCCTTGACAAAGACGTGGATTCCTGGTAGGCGTCACTCTGGAAACCTCTGGAATACCGAGTGTGGTACCGTGAGCGCGTACCAGTGCCACAATTATCGGAACTTGCAACGGTAGCTTTCCTCAAGCTTTAGCCAAGGATTTTATTGCGAGACACGAGTTGAGGGAATGGGGAGAGAGTTCAGTGACTGCTCTGTGGCTGGAAAGGCCGGGAGACTTGTCGAAGAAGTACTGAGGACCGAGAGGGAAGTCTTTGCTGCTGGGGGTCTATGGGAGAAATGTCGACGGATGATGTTAATCATGCGCTGGCCCGAAGTACGGGGGGGGGGCGTGTCTTGGAGTTATTGGATTCTTTGGGGAAGGATTATGTGGGGCTTATCGGACAGATTTCCTCAGCCCTCATATGAAAAAAACGTGGTACCTGAACTATGCTCTCTATGGTCTATTTGACGCCTCTTAACATCTTTTGCACTCTAATTCCTTTCGGGGAGGCGGCACAAAGTACACCCAACCAAAGGCAGATAAGCATGGAAGTACCCTATGGGAACCTCTGGGGGGTCTACGACTAACAGCCGCCAGTCTCCCACGGGCCACACCGAACCACCACTACTGCGCATCTGATGCAGGTGAGACCGAGGATGGGTGGATGATGTTTCGAAGGCACTCCGTAAGCAAGCTGATAGAGGGCTGGAAGCTGACAGATTGTGGAGAAAAAAAGGGGTCCCTGATGAGTCTGACTCTGTTGCTTTTTAGGATGATCATCGCATCATTATTCACCCTCGGTATTGTTCTATAATTGTCCAGATCCCAATCCTACTACAAAATCCGCAATATCCGACAACATGCATATTTCCGTATCACATCCCATAGGATCCCTCGTATTCACTTTACATATTAAAGTGTTTCACCGTCACGAGGCTGAACAGCCCGTGAACATGGTCATTCGCCATGATATCTACGAGATTTGACGCCACCATAGCTGAAATCAGGATTGGTGTGGGGTATAGCTGCGTCGGGCGCTTTTTCCCTGCAGCATGGCAATTCCGAAGGAGCTGGGGGGGGGAAGGACTAACCGGACTAAGCGCGGGACCGGTGTGTTGGAAACGAGGCGTCCCTGGGAATCCCTGGGGATCGCTACGCTGGAGATAGGAATTATCTTGGTGAATGGTGATGATAGGGGGTTTAGGAAAGTAGCGTGGGGGATGCGCTTTGTTTCGAGAGGACTGATTTGGAATGTTTGTTGGGTGTGGGGAATTCTCGCCAAGCAGAGCAAATCAGATCACGATGCGCGTGGCATGCTCGCATAATATACAAATGACAAGTATGTTGTATGCGGGTTGCGCATGACTGGGTGGATTTCCTCGCTTGAAAATCATCATTCCATACGGTTAATGGAAACGAGGTGTGTCGTCTATGGTTACGAATGGATCATGCATGCATATTCGACTGTCATTCTTGCATCTCGATGCATTTCCTGCAGCATCGTGCATATACTTATCCTACAATCCACACACATTTGTTTCTGTTATTTTGGAGTCAGAGTTAGGCAATTTCTCCGACGTTTTGCATGATTCGGCGTCTGTCACAATGGCGGGGAAGGGGAAACGGCCTCCAAGCTCGCCTTATCTCTCTGGTTTCGGGACTCGACAGGGGGTTCCTTTTGGGGAACCAGCACTGGGATTTTGTGGAGCCGTTATCGTGGGGAAATTGCGTGTGGCAAGAAAAGACAAGGGTCTGGGCCTGTCTTATCTGCTGTCAATCACCAGCGTCATGACTGTACTGTGTAAAGAATTCTCATTCGGTATTGGGAAATATGTATATATGGATCAATATACATGTATATTTGTAGATATGTATATTCAGATACGCGAACATATCCAATATGCGACTGATGTCACTTAATGCAGGAGACCAAAGTCAGAAAGAATAAGAATTGTACGGAAAAAAACAATACTGACCTGGCGCGAGGTGCCCAAAGAATCAATGTCGTCGTCATAGATAGCATCTTGTCTCCGTAGCCTTCCCAAGCATCACGGTGACGGCATCTTTTGCCGCTGCTAACCGAATATCATTTTATCGAGGCCAATGAGAAAATCAGCGGCGGATGATCAGATGAACCGGCAGGGGGATCAGTCATGTCTGAGGCGGGGCACAAAGGAAAGAGACTGAACTCTTTGGTGATTCCACCTTCGAAGAAGCATGCACATCACGCCCAATATCACACCCTCCATTCGAAGCTTGATTGGCCACAGTAGTATCCAAAAAAAACGAAGAGCCAGGTTTCGAAAAGCAAGAACCAAAGTGACAATGAAGGGGGCAGAAGAGGAAAAGAAGCACCGATCATCGCTCAGATGCAGTCTCTCCGTCCCACCTATCACGCAACCACCAAGACTCTCCGCCCTTGCTGGACGCCCTTCCGCACCTTTCCCTCATTCTACGCACCAGTCCAGCTAGCCAGCTTCCAACTTCCTTGCCAGCGCTACATGGACTGCCGAATTACAAAAACATTGCTACGGGATGACTGCTGGGCATGTTCTCATGTTGAGCTCCAGAGCGCATCATTGGCTTAACTACCATGTGCCCATCAAACCAGCACCTTTCGCGCACGGGCCAGACTCGTCTCAGAGGGTGTAGGGTATGAAGCTTGCATTTACCACGAGGAAAGCCTCCACTCGGAAAGCGCCTATTTCCTTCTTTAACACATATATGAGTTCATTGCTCATTAGCGCGCGTAGTCTCGAGGTGCTTAATGGTTCTCCGTCACGGATTGTCTCTTCTCACCAACAACCTCGGACCATCGGCTTGGGCCACTACCATCATGACTCATTTCCTTTCATCATTCTTTCCGAGCCATCTAGCATGTACCCTTCCCGAAACTTCCCCATGAAGACGAATGCTCCACTCAGTCCCAACATTCAACGCAACCTTAGGCTCGAACCCTCCCTCTCACCCCGAGCTCACTCCTTTCCCCCGTATTCGGTAATGAATGACACGATCGAACACAAGTTCGGCTTCGATTCCCCTAGTACCACGACGTGGAAGTACCACGAATGCTCGCGGTCGAAGGCCGTACACGCCAAGTATACGTATCCTTGCCAGCTTTTCATCCTCCCTTTTCACACCCTTCATCATCAGAAGCCGAGAAAAGTGGCAGAGACGTTGCACTCGCCGCGCAACACTCGGACTAAAAAAATGCCTCCTCAATAATAGCCAATTTGATTTCCACCCAAGTTCCCAGCCCTTCATTCGACACCGTCACATCCGCTTGGCCCCGCTGGATGTGCGTACGCGTACGTACCATCTCTCATGTTGAATGGGTGAATATACCCGGAAACTTCTTCTTCCTATCATCAGTCAACCCACCATCCATACCACGCTCCCCTACCTCCTAAAGAATACCCAATTCAGTTATTGCCTCTCGTCCGCAACCTAAACTCCTCAGAAGCTTCAGCTTCCTGCTTCCCCGTCAACCCACATCTGGAATTTGTACATGTCCTGCGGGCTCCACGCGTGTGTGATACATACTGGACTCACGGCCGATCGAACTTGGCAGAAGAGAAAGAGCTTAATTCGCTGTGAAGATCCCCCTTGCTCGAGCCCGCTTTAGCTGACTGTGAACGAGTGAGTAGGGACAAGTGATATGAGGCTGGCTTTCGGGTCGATAAGTCGCGTTGGAGACTCTTTTCCTCGGCGCAGGAGAATTAGAAAGGGGAATAGACTGGAGGTGAGACGGATGATGTGCTGATCGGCGTGATGATGCACTGGAGGTGTTTTTCTTGCTGAGGTTTGTATGAGTGCATCGGCGTGTGATTGGTGGGAATATCACATCACCCAGCACTCAGTACTATAGCACTACAGCACCCATTCATGGCTACTGGGAGCAAGGTTACGTGAGTCGGGCTGCGCAGTCAGCCGTAGCACGGGTATACACCCCCACCCAACCCTCTCTTCTTCCTCACGGACATACTGATAAGGAATGACAATCTGGCACACTGCATTGGATTACCATGGTGAGCGGAGTGTCAGCAGAGGTCGGGTCCGTCTAATCTCCGATGGTAAGGAAGTGTCCGAGGGCTACGGCATGACGGATATCGTTGATTCTTAAAGGCAGTTTCTACGGCCCTCAAGATCCGTGGTAAGATTCTAATAGGCGGGTTGTTGGTGGAAGAAGGGAAAGGAAAGGAAAGGAAAGGAAAGGAAAGGAAAGAAAAGGAAAGGGAAGGAAAGGAAAGGAAAGGAAAGGAAAAGAAAAGCGGGTTCTCTAGCTCTGGCGCTGCGGTATTTGCTGGATGAGAGAAAGCAGGGGGTGAGGTGGAGAAGGAGGAGAAGGAGGAGAAGGAGAAGGCGTCGAAACTTCGCTTCCTCACCACTGGCCGAGGCGGAAGCGCATCCAGAGCGGAAGGGAAAGAGAAACGCACGTCAGTTGTGAACGCCACATTAGCTTCCCCCGCTCCGCACAGGCACAGAACGATGGGTTTCGTCAATAGGGGTTGGAGGACTTGTCGTCAGACGGGTCATTTTTTTGAAAAATGGATCGTGGCGATGAAGGCAATTGGACAAGACCGATGCTTGGGTGTTTGTTGATCTTATACTATCATTTTGCCGGTGAATTAACCTTCTCCATCAACCACTGGAGTTGTTTAACGGGAAGGAACAACGATCACGTACAATCATCATCAGTAGCTATGACACATTTGCCGTTCGACATGGCGCAGCAGCTGTCCGCAAGCACCAGATCGATGAGATGATCGTGTCGAAGACAGAGGCGGATAAGATCCGATTCTGGGCATATTCTATGTGGGAAGGGAGCCTAGAGAACTGTTTCGACTTAATGTTAATGATGGGTGCCATCTCCTGAAGTCTCTGGCAGCCGGTGTCCTTATCTCAGTACGGCGGTTGGATGTGTTTAGGCAGTCGCCATGGCACGCATACGAGGACAGTGATCAAGTCTCCTACCAAAAGGACGATCTTGCGACCACACTGGAAGTCAAGTCCCCTCAAACCGAATTTCTTACGGGAATGCTCCGAGGTTTTACAACGTAACACTGAGTCTGAGCTCTGCTATAGAATTCCGAGGGTTTGCTGAATTCACCGAGGACTCTTTCGAACATCGGGTTCTGGAATCGCGCGTCCTGCAATCGGTCCTGGACCTAATACAATTGCGAGCATACGACGCACCGTTTTCAGAATAGAGAAGTTTGGGGACCCATCATTCAGGGTTTCCTCACGACCTATATCTTCAGCAACCGTGGCGGTATCGCTTACTCACGCGTGTTTCAGTAACTATCGTTTCCCGAGGGCTGGCACCGCAGCTTAAATCCAGCTTACTACATCTATATGGGCTTGGTTGCTCTTACGGGCAGGAAAAACTACTCCGGTGCGCACCTTGATTTTCCGAATTCATTGGATTGTGGTTAGTTTAGGTTTCGTGGATCCAGCTGCACTATTATGCATGCCGGATCTCTCTTCGATACGCCTTAAATGCTATTGCGTTTTTAAATCTTCAGGCATCGAGTATAGCGAGGTCTGATCTGGTGCCGGCTCATGTTGCCTATTGAATACTTTCTCGTTGCTGCAATTCAGCTTTCTCATGTTATTGCGATTTCCGATTCTCATTTCTCGAGACTTATATCTCGCTACGATGTGACATATATGAGACTCTAGTGATTCACCCACGGAGTTTTAACGTGGGCTTCGTTTCTACGCATTGGATCATTGCTTAAAAGGATATGGTACGTTCTTTGGGTGTTGATGGATATTTTGATAGACAATTTTCTCAAAAATCCCGTGAAGATCTTGTGATAGACATGCTCACCGAGGAAGAAGAGTTGTGAAATGACTGGAACCTCAAACGGCAAGATTGTCGATCCTCTTGACTTGGTCACACCCTTTGGACACGATTCTGATGAACCTTACGAACCTGTCTTATCAACGAATTGTTGGGATCTACCGACTTTAGATACTTCAGATCCAGGGCCGCTCAAGACCTCCACCTTACCCCATTCTATCTCCAATTTGCGGCGGAATCCCACTCTCCCCCTGCATTTGCGCAACGACAGCGTCATCTCACGCCAGCTATACAAATTGTCAGTCGCGGAACGATGACCAAAACGGTTGAAAAGACACCTGATCACACTCTCTCGATTGCACCCAAAGCCGTCACGGAGGAGACAAAGAAGCAAGAGCCTCTTGTGACTATGGAGGCTGTTGTGGAGAAGGACCAGGAGTACTACCTGAAGCGAGCTCTTGATCTCTGTGAAGAGCGTAATTGACTCATTAGATTCCAATGTTCAACCAAACCTTTTCGCCACTCAACGAGTCGGTCAAAGATACCAGATCCTTCTGCTGCTATCATCATTGGTACGTCCGGCATCAATTCTTATACCCTCGTGGATGCCGCTACCCTCGTACAAGCCCTGTGGTATGATGCCCCACCGCGAGGTGGACCTCCCACAGTAAGCAGCGATGGCACCCACCTTGGCGGAGACTACCGGCCATTTTACTACCTCGGCCTCAAGTGGAAATGTCATACCGCAAGAGGGAACATTGACAGACTTCACCTGCGAAAGACCACTCCAGCCGAAGCAATCGTAAGTACATTTTTGAAGGCAGACATCTCTCAATCCCTATCATCTTTGACTCATAAGCCATGGTTGGGCGCAGCATGATCATCACACTCCCCAAATTGGTCCCATGACCCGAACGCTGTGCCTCAAGGAAGCCATACTACTTCCGAAATATGCAGTTGGATCCAACAAGACCAAGGATCGTGCGGTTTGCGGATAACCTCGTCCAGTCGACCAGGACGTTCCGACCTTGGTACATCGAATCTTGGGCCACCTGCTGACCGAACCCTGAGACCATGTATTCGAAGCTGAAAATGGCGACAACATCCCCCGCAATGGACAATCCGCCAATGGTAGAGGCCATTACCAAACCGCTACCTGGCAGTTCAAACTTCGAGGGCACCTGGCGGGCGCTGATGGACGAAGGATTTCCTGACGACAATGGATACTTCTAGGTCGTGCTCGGTTCGCCCGATCAAGGCTTTCCCAGCAGCCTTTGTGTTGCATGATGATTCTGAGAGTTTCCTCCGATCATGAGCGTCAGAGAAAGCATGCCACCCATCCGGACCGCAATCTGGAGACATTTCGCTGTGGGATTGAAGCTGTGGGACCTTTTTCACAGGAACATCAGTATAGGGATCACGATGACGGAGATGAAGGATTCTGCAGCCTCGACACCTAGGATGTTTCTTTTCTATTAATTACGGGTAAATCTGATGCTGATTCCGAGTACCTCGAGAGCAACTCAAACACCCCAATATCGGGTCATGATGAAGTAGTTGACGGGCTTTTTTCCTTTTCCCTTTCTTTTCTTTCTTTCCAGATGCGGATGAGATCGATGATTCTGGACACTTCACGACTGAGCCAAACATCCCACCGCCTGATCATCAAGAAGTGATCGACCAGTCCTCCTTTCAAATAGATGTGAACTCAAGCTTATCTTCCTCTTCGTCTGTTCAACCTCATCACCAAGGAACCAGCAGCCAGCAGTATGTGAGCTCGACCCGAAAGATACCAAATCACGCTTCCACATCGATCATCTCTGCATCTGGCTCGAGCGGCTCTCAGAAGAGAGTGACCGGGACATGGATTGAGTAGGAGATGAGCTACATGCAGCGACCAGTGATATCAGCCATGTTGAGTCATTCTGCATGCTGCTGTGTTGGATGACGATATTCGGTGGACTTTCTCCAGCCTTCTTCAACCCTGGATACGCATCTTGGTATTTACATCTGCTCCGGCTCCACTTTGGTATGGTATGTCCTGATCCGATTCTTCCCCTCCACCGACCATATTGACGCATTGCAGCTCCGTATATATGACTATGCTGATGCAAGGCACGAGAAGTTTATAGGCTATGCGATATCGTTCTTACAGACGCGAACTTACACCGACAAGCAAATATTAGTTGGGGTGACGGAATGGACTCTGCGGTGAGGTCGTCTTTCAGCGCCTTCAAAGATACCATTGTCTACGGCTGAGTTGACCGCCGCCTACCTTCACTTCGCCCATCATCATCCTCCCATGCAGCGGCGTATTTACGCCATTTTTATAGCGACCGATCCCTTGAATGAGCCAGGGGACGAGCCCATTGATGGGCAGTATTTTATATCTCGATACCGTGGACTGGCGTTGACGGAATCCCCCGCCTGGAGATTCCGCAATGGGGTCGCGACCGACCTCATGACCGCGGAAATCGCCGCCTTTTGGGATTTCTGCTTCCTTCGTGAAGCGCGGTTTTGGTGATTCGGGGGTGACCGGAATGGACTCTGCGGTGAGGTCATCTCTCAGCGCCTTCAACGATACCATTGACTGCATTTACGCATAACTTATCGATCAATGCACTCTCAACTCCCAAAGTCACAGTATTCTCAGGCCTCAAGCTCACAGTGCAGCCCACCGCTTCTTTCGTCACCACACCCGACAAATACACAATTATCCGGAACCAAGCCGCCAATGTGCTGCCCGAGGGCAGCCAAATGCGACCCCGTGACTTTACCTCGTTACAGAGATTGTCTCGCCGGCCAGGCTTCGTGTTCGGTGGGACCGTTGCGGATCTGATTGCAGGTCGGGAACTCTCCACGGGAGGACTCGCCGAAAAGCGGAGGCTGGATCTGGCGTTTCGCCACCTGCCATCGTTGAGGTAGCGACCAAAAGTTACTACTGACAGGCGATGCGGAACATCTCTTGATTTCCCCCCCCCCCCAAATTCGCAGTTGATTACGCCAGATCAGGATGGCACACATGTTAGTGTAGGGTCTGCTCACGGGATCTTACGCCGTGATGGATGCAGCATCTAATCTTACCCACGCGCTGTCGTCAGGAGGAATCCCCAGCGTCAAGGGTAGATAATGGCTCGGCAAGTCTTGTTTATAACTCCAGCTTTGTGAGCAGACGAATTCTCAATTATTACCTTTCGCCGTGCGTTGGTACACTTTTAAAGAAAACCCTGATTCCGTACAGTACTCAGCCAACCCCATCCAGCAGTCGTACTACGACCCGACCAAGAAGCCCGATCCCATCAAAAATGCTGTCAACGCCTTTTAAATCACTTTATTACACGAGTGACCGCTTCGGGGGAAACTAAGCTCAGACGTTCCGCGCCTAATGGGACCGGCGATTCGGTCTAGGTTGGGGGCGGGGCGTCGAGAGGGGACGACATGTTGAGATGTTCACTTCAAAAAGGCTTGCAAGATCGGACCTCTTGCGATGCGGCCTGGTTGAAATACACGCTCGAGAAAGTCGACGAGGAAGAGGCTTTCTTCGCGTATCGTTGCTGCCGTGGTTTGATTGGAGATGGCCGTTAGAGCGATGATGGCCGGCGCGTTCGAGTATAGGAGGGTTAAGTTTGTAAGGTGGCTGCGGAGATTGAGTGTGAGGAGGGAAGGCAGAAGGGATGGGTTGGTGGATACATGTTGGAGGGCCTAGAAATGACTATCTAGCACATATGTGCGATGGAGGGACTCGGTCGGTCGAGTTGCTGTATATGAATGTCCTTTTTTGTCTGGTAGACCGATTAGGTTTTCGAGGCAGTAGGGAAGATGGCAAGCGACGGCTTTACCTGGTGCACATGCATATGGTTCCCACAAGGCCGTGGGATCTTCACGTATTAATGGCAAACCGTCCAATTCCATGCCCACCTGTCACACTCTACTATTCTCATATGAAGCAATGTAATCTATTCATTCACCACGTTCGTATCCTTTCCACCATCCAGAGCACATCCCTTCGCCACTCTAGCATTGACCCTAGCTTCCTTCATAGACGCTTTGCTAATGTCAACATTTTCTCCCAAGACGCCTTCCGCCACATCTTTCATCGCCTTGAAGAACGCCCCGGGACCAGAAAGGGAGTACGTTTCGGTAAAGTAGGGATTTTGGAAATCACTTGGATCCGTGGGCTTCTTCATGGTGGTGTAATCGAGTGTTACGCACTTGAAATCGTCTCTCAAAAGGCTGTCGTAATTTTGGAGGATGCAATACCGGAAATATTGAAGACAAGGGTGGTTGGGCGCACTGGCGAGGAAACTTTGGCTAGCGGTATGTTCTGCGGTAAGCGCGAATCGGAAGCCTGTTATATCTCCGATGGAGGGGACCGTCGTGTGGTGGTCGACGTAAATGCCAGGGTACGTCTGGAGGAGTTGCACTCGTAGAAGGTTGGATGCTGCGGCGTAATTTCCACGGTATCTTTCGAAAAGCGCCCATTGCAGCAGTCGGACTTCTGGCCCTAGGTTATCCCACCTAGATGCTAGCGAGGAAGGTTGGAGGCTGGGATAGCAAAGGGAATTCTGGTTCCTTTGGTGTTCTGCGTGGAACAATGCTTCGTAGAAGTCGGAGAGGAAAAGTAGGTCAACATTGTGTAGATCGTTCTGTTGGAGGAAATCCTGAAACTTCTGGACCGTCGGAATTTGTGCTCGCAGTTGTTTGTTTAGGCGGACTTTATAAAATTCCATCTGGGCACGCACTAGCATCGCGAAGGTTTTGTTGATGTGAGTAGAGCTGATTGCTTTGTTCATGCCCGACGTGTAGATGTTCAAGCTCGCCCGAGGGAATACTCTAGGGAGCCCGCTCGGTCCTTCCATCTCCAGCATTGAAAAGTCATCGAGCCACAGTCTGACACGATAGTCCGGGTTGTCCTTCACACATGCTTGAATCTCCGTCTGGTCGAAGTCCTCAAAGGTTCGGCCAAGCCAGATGTAGTTGATCTTCTTGGGAATTGGGATCTCATATCTGTCTTTGGCCTCTGGGGCTTTGGGCTCCGTTGAGTATCCGGTTTGGACATGGGCTGGAAAGGGTGCATCGATAGCGCGAAGCATGTTGCGCTCGAGTTCGAGCTGAACGAGGAGGTCAATATGAATGACTTGCGTCAAGGTCGAAGGGAAGAGTGCTTTCGTCGACGTTAGCAGCCGACGTGCAGATATTGAAACAAGCGTCCGGAAATCAACCTTGCGGTTGGTTGCTTACCGACCGACACGCGTGAAAGTGTGGTTGCACAATACGTATACCGCGGTGTGTAATTAGTTCAAGTATGAGTTAGGGGTCAGGCTATCATTCCTGGTGCTCAAGCAGACATGAGCTGTGTTACGGGATGAAAGCAGTTGCAGGGCTGTTTGTATGACCGATACTTGTAAGGATATAGGTTTCGGTGGATTGGGAAAGGGTTGCGATGGACGAAACAGCCCCGCTTGGACGATCTAATGACAGCTAATGCACGTCTCCGAGCGGTCGTGAGGCGCCTGACCAATGAAATAATTTTTTGCTGCCAGCCTGATAGCAGATGACTGGCACCATTGTTTGTTTTTTAGTCGTGTCTGAGTCTCTTCTCTTTTAATGCTTGGCGACACTGGGGACATTATCAGGTACCAGTGAATAAAATGCAAGGGAGCGACGATTTCCCGAATATATGGAGTTGATTAACTACCTATCCCGCCTGACAAGCCTCGTGTGGTTCACGGTACGTCGGTGATGAGCCCAGCGTATCCGATCAGTCGAGAATATGCACACCATCGACACCAGTCGCCCCTTCAAATCTTCCTGCCACTGTATTCATGAGGCTGATAGTAATTATGCGAGCTCGCACAATGATGGATCAAAGCACGAAGAGCGCTTGTGGCGGCACGCACAGAATGCTCTTTCCCGGATACTTCTGTAGGACAAATTGACTAGAGTATGAATCCGGAATAATAGGAGGATGACATGTAGGCACGAAGCGAACGTCCTCGATTATTCCGGAAAGGATTCCGTGATCGTATGCCGGCTGTTGCGCGTAATGACCAGAGGCAAGGACGAAAGTCCGATGTTTGTTAGGCATGCGGTATCATCCACATCGGCAACCACCCACAACCGAACTTTGCCACCTGATAGTGCGTGTAAATGCAACGATCTATCACTGTATGTCGCCATTAAGCCATTGATAAGCTTGCCGTTAATAATCGACAGCCCACCCATTGTTCTCAAGAAACTCCTCGCACGCTTGCTTCAATGCTAGATTCGGCCGTATATCATCAGCTCGTAAAGGCTCTCTGGTCAGGGGATCTGTGTGCGATCGTTTGAAATGTTCCATTAGCGTGACTCGGTCGTAGGAGTTGCCGGTTTTTGTCGTCACGGGGTCGTGCATAACAGCGAAGGATATGCTGTCGATTAGGTAGTCCGGTACTTCCTTTTCAAATGTTAGCGCTCAAGGCCACGGATGCAAATTGGCGGATCGAGTATACCCTCCGCTGCAGATTCTTCGGGTCCGCAATCGCGAAGATCGTCCTCAATTCCTCAACCTTTTTCCTGCACTCCAGCTCAATATCGGACTTCTCCTCCGCCTCTTCATTAAAATCCAGCATCTTGAGCCTCAACTGCCGCAATTCCTCTCGCTTATTCTTCATCAGCATATCCTCAAGTTCCCGCAACATCGAACTTCTATTCCGTATCCGCTCCCTTTCCTTGGCTTCCCATTTCTGCTTTTTCGCCTGCAAAACAAGGCCGGACACGGCGCTAGTCGACTTGTCGTTCGTTTCGAGGCATTTTTCGTATGCAGTGAGGGCGGAGGTGAGGGCTTCGTTTGGGTGATTCAGGGCGAGTTGGCTTTGGGCGAGGAGGTAGTATCCTTTCATGTTGACACGGTCCAGCTCTATTGATTTGAGACAGTCATCCATGCAGTTTTCGAATTGTTGAAGCTTGATGCGAGTCATGGCGCGGTTGGTGAAGAGCTTGGGGTTTGACGGGTCTTTTTGTATTCTGCTTGTGAGTGAGTGGGCGCCGGTGAGAAGAGAGGGGGAGCTGGTGGATTGTACGCTTGAGAGTAGAGACCCTCCGCTTCTGTGTATTCACCATTCTGAAAGTACCTGGGTCCAGTCAGCGTGGGGCAGTACTCAGATCGTGAGCTGAGTTTCCTCACTTGTTCCCCTCCTCCTTCAGAGCGACGGCTCGGTGGGCCATGCTATCGGCGACCTTGTGAAGGAAGCAATATCATCCTCATGATTTGAAGTGCGCCACCCAGCTGATGCTGCAGGAAGGTTGCTAGCATATGCATAGAAGCTGATGGATCATTTGTCGCCGCCAGCTCGGGTGAGCTGAAATGACTTGGCGCGGGAATAAGACGGATATACCGAAGTGATTGGCTCCTAAATTCCGTCGCTGCCCCCAAAATACAGCCACCATTCCTTCACCCTTCATGGCTCTAAGAAGATCACTTGCCATTGCATCTTCATGCCCACAGGAAGTCGCAATGCTATCAGACTAACATACCAGGACCAGCGCGGGAAGTCACTTAGCAACGAGACAGAAAGCTGACGCCCTACTCCACTCTCCTCAACATTAGCTGAGCTTCTCGCAACCTCTCCTTCAACTCTTTCCTGCCTTGAGTTCATGATCTCAAGCCTCGTGCATTTCCTCTTGGATCCCACTGTTCAAGGACCTCTCGACAACATTCTCCACAGCTTCGGCATCATCTGGCAGTCCAGTGACCATGCCCTCTAAAAAGCCCACCGTCACAGATCACAGTACCCTGCCCTCTTCAAAGTCCCTTACGGCTCACATCCGAGGCTGCCCTGCCCCACCATAACATCAAGCTAATTCGCTGGCGAGGGGGACGTTTGAAGAGACGGGATTGCACCTGAAAAGATTCCTGAGGCAGATTGGCAATGGGGAGGAGTTCGAGACCAGCGAGGGCACATGCTTCAAATCGAACATCGAGGTCGAGGCTGCTGATTTGGCCCGGGTTGGAACGATATGGTGTCTTAGTTTGGGGAGACTGCACATCGAAACGGATCCGGTCGTGCATCAACAGTAGGCCTGGGCGACAGAAGAGGACATCCAGGATGACATCTATCCGATTGTGACGCCTCGGTAGAAAGAGGTCATGCTGCAGGCTTTCCAGCTGCGAAAGGAAGACAAAGAGGAGGCAAGGGTTCCGGCCGTCCAGGCATCCATCGCGCGTGAGGCGTACCGAGTACGCGACAGGCTTGGGGATGAGGACGAGGATGACGAGGAGGGGGGGATGAAGTCGGAGGAACAGACTTCGGTCACGTCAGAGTCGAGGAAGTCAGGCTCGTGCGGGGAGGATGATGAGGTGGTGATAACGAAGTTGGTTGAGCGGAGTTTGGTAAGGACAGTCGAATAGCTTTGGATAGAATGGCAGAGTTGGCTAGGGTAAACATGTGTGGGCAGCCATTGTGCATCCAGGCGCTCGGAGGAATGGCTGGGGCGGTTCATGAAGCTATGCGGCAGGGGTCATGAGGCATGAATTACGAAGCATGGATTATGAGCGGTATGGCATCTTACGAAAATTGCGGCATAGATCGAGTGGCTGTGGATTGGATAGCATGGCATTCCATAGCATAGCGTCTTCCAGAATTCCGAAGACGCTTAATCAAAAACCGCACTGATCACATCCATTGCTCCCGCGCCTCCAAACATGGCCATATACCCATCCATCCATCCACCCACCCTTCCAAATGCCACTACGTCTTCGCAGCCATATCCCGCCCATCATACCCTTTCTCCCCATCGTCGCCGCCTCCGGCCCCGTCGGCCTTGCCCCGCTGGATCCGGCTCCACTCCTCCTGGTCGTCCGCCGCGTCCACATCGTTGGCCGTGATGCTGGCCGCTTCGTCTTCGATCTCTTCGGCTAGGATGAGGTTGAGGAAGATGGCGAGGAAGGCCGTTACTGGGTGGGATGTTAGTGTGGATTTTTGTATATAAGATCTCCCCTCAAAAAGAGATGGTGATTATGTTTTGGGGGAGAGGGTTTGAGAGTCACGTACCCGCGAAACCGGTCTCGAGCACTAAGATAATGGCGTTGTAGAACCCCTGCTTGGACTGATTATCCCCCTTGTACGTGAAGACGAACGAGAACCAATTCGGGACCAAGATCGCGCCGAAGCCGAGTGACATCGATGCCGTCAGGATGAAGCGATTGCGCCGCGTAAAGGGCACGGTCGAGATGATGCGCACGCCCGACACGGCGACGGAGCTGAAGAGGAAGGTCGTCAGGCCGCCGAGCACGGGATTCGGGATCGCGACGAGCGCGGCCGCAAACTTGGAGAAGACGCCCATGATGAAGAGGAAGAAGCAGGCGCCGTAGCCGGCCTTGCGGTTCGCGCAGCGCGTCAAGGCGATGACGCCGTTGTTCTGGGCAAAGGTCGACATGGGGGTGATGGTGCAGAGGCCGGCGATGAGGCCGTTGAAGCCGTCGGCGAGGACGCCGCCTTGGATGCGCGAGTCGAAGAGCTTGCCTTCGACTTCGAGGCGCGACACGTCGCACGTGGCGGTGATGTCGCCGATGGCTTCCATCATGAGGACGATGTAGACGGCCATGAGCGGGAGGATGATGGGCGCGTAGATGCTCAGGGGGAACGTCTTGACCCAGACGAAGGAGACGGCGGGCGCGGCGTCAATGCCGGAAGCGGAGAAGTAGCCTGTGGCGCCCGCGATGATGCAGCCGACCAGGAGGCCGACGACGACGGCGCAAGACTTCATGATGGGACTGCCGAAGCGTTCGCAGAGGATGATGGTGACAAAGACGGAGAAGCCCAGACCGATGTATTCGGCACTGCCCCAGGGGAGAGCGTGGGGTGCGCCGACTTGGGGACAGACGGTGTAGGGACCGCTTGTTGGACGGGTGATGCAGCCTGGGGTTCCGGATCCTCCGGCCCAGTCTTGGAAACCACTTTGGATCAAAGCGATGCCGATGAGCATGACGGTGGGGCCAGTTACGAGTGGAGGGAAGACACGCTTCAAGACTGCTGGTTTGGTGAATGAAAGGCCGATTTCGAGCAGTGAGCATAGGCAAGCGGTGCCAAGTAGAGCGCCGTAGCCTTGAGGACAGGGCAATTTGGTCCCATCGGCAGCTGAAGGACAGAAGCCAGTGGCGTACATCTGTGCAAAGGCACCTGTGGTGACCGGGATGATGGAGAAGCTTGTTCCGACTACGGAGATCAAACCGGTGCCGATATAGTAAGGTGACTTGTATATATGGAATCTAGTGATCTGTATTGAAGATAGGATGCCACCGACGATCAATGCTGTCGATACCAGATACTGTGTATCATTTGCCCCTAAACTGGCGCCTCCTTGACCGGCGATGATGATAGGAGGGGTGATGATACCAGCCAACATGGATAAAGCATGTTGGAAGCCTAATAATAGAGCGAGGACGACGGGCATTTTATCATTGAGACCGAAGAAAGGGGCTGCTCTTTTCGATTTTTTCATGAATGGTAGGTTCGGTTTGAATAAGAAGGCATAGTCGTAATCGCCAAACAAACCCTCCCTATTCCGGATCAGCCAATCAAGAGTGAGAGCTCGCCTTGATTTCCTTACTTGGTTGTCAAAGCTCTGACGATGCCCCGGGACTTGTCTGCGAAGGTGGCTTTTGGGGTCATATCGGGCCCAATACGATCGGGTGAGTCGTCCATTGTCGGAGGAGAAGAAGACTTTAAGTTTGGAGTGGTTAAATGAGAAAAGACAATGATCGCCAATCTTTCGATAGATTATAGTAGTATCTCATGAGTTTCCAATGGTCCTGGCCGAGCGACTGTGCAAAAGAGATGATTAGGCAGAGACTTTCTATTCTGCTTGCGGATTGAGTGAGATATAGATGGCAGAAGAAGGGTTTTTGTATGTGAACAATACTGTTATACGTGACCATGGACGCAAGCCGCCGATCTGCTATGTCAAAAATTCATTATTTTGAAAATGTGGAGAAGGTTGAATGCGATAGCGAATCAGTGGGCCGTGCCGTTTGATTGGCGTCTGGAAATGGCTGCATGGAAGAAGAAATCTGCGGTGTTCTAGCCCTACATTCGAACGATCTGACCGGGCCAAGGTATAAAATAGCAGAGCAGAAGGTGGTACCGATAGGACGTCGGCCGATCCCGTCGATCTTCCATGCGAGATTCATCTGACACAAAATGCAAAATATTAATTATAGTCAAGATAGAGTCCTTCGGCATCTAGTTCACGAAATCCGGCACCGAATCATGGCACAGCTATTCCATCTTTCGGCCGACTCCACCAACCTTGACGCGCCACGCGGGAGAAAAGTTGATATTCCATCTGTCCCAGAAAGGCTTTTGCTCCGCGTTCTCTGGCTGCTGGATATCTAAACACGCTCATTTGGGCAATTGAACACGCGATGTAATCGGTTAGTTTCACTGTTTAATGTAAAGATGCTCCCCGGTCTCTAACACGTTGACTTCGTCGCCAACCTTGATTCTGCTGTCCTCCGATGCCGGAACCATCTGCATCCCCAGACACGCGTTCCTCGGGTCTCCAGCGTCGATGCATCGAAAGTCTTTCAACGTCCTATTTGGCTCCGAGCCGTGCCTCTTACCGGTGACGGGATTGACATTCGGCAGCAGACAACGTACGGTCCGGCAGGAGACGTAGTATTGATAAACTCCTATCCTGATCCGCTTCCAACAGTCTTCTTCATACGCGCCACCTCCCGTGATGACGATGTTGGGTCGGAAGTTTCGAGCGCTGAGTGGTGGAGCGCCCTGTTGAAGCTTATCCCCAACGTCACGAACACTTGCGAGGTTCAAGATATGTAGTGGGTAGGCATCCTGGAAGCCTACTGCTGGCTGGTAACCAAGCTTATCCTTCCGAGGTGCACATCGGTAGACTTCTCTTGGCTGGTCGTCCTTTGACACTCGAAAGAGAGCAAAGTGATTTGTGATTCCAAGGTATGATCGAAGCTCTTGTATCCAGCGGTCCTCCTTCTCCGTACTGGCAATAATGAGCGACCTGGGTTTGTCTTTCCATATCTCCATATCGTCGACCGCGTAGCCCTTGTCAGAGATCTGCTCTTGTGTGGGATTGAACGGTATATGGACCTCCCTCTCGGGCTGCGCAAACACCAGTGCCAGAAGATCTTTGACTTTTCCCATGAAACCTTCCTCGCATTGGATATGAGGAAATTTGATGACAAGGACACCTCCACTCCGAATGTTCGGATGCCATTCCGAGTACGTTGGGGAAGACGAGTCGGGCACCCAGACCTCGGTCTTGATTGTAGCCATTGGTGGGAGAGTCCTCTGGGTGATGAACTTCCAAGTGTGCGTCGCCTTCTCTTCCCGGGGTGTTTTGGCGCTCACTGGGAACTTGCTGGATAGCTGTGCAAAAGAGAATTGACGGTCGTATTCCATGCCCGTGCCAATCACCGTTCCCGTTTCAAGTTCCACGCCTCGGCAACTTTTGACCGGGTATATCCACAAGCTCTTGACTCTCCATGTAGCTGAACCTTTATGTTGCCCCGCCACGGCACCCTTGTATCGCTCATCAAGTTCATCGGCCAGGTAGCTTTTGCCGCCCAATCCAAGCTTGCGGCAACCTTGGGGCTTGTGTTGCCGGCTGTGTAGACATGATGCTTTGAGTAATCCCCAGAGTAGAACAGGCACGAAGCAAGCAACGGATATGGCAATGTAAATGGTCAATGACGGGTCAATCCTGGGTACGTGCGTTGCAAATCCCAGGTACTGAAACGACATTTTGAGATTGGATAATTGGTGACAGTGTTGCCGAGAAATGCCAGCAATGATGCCCCTTGTATGGTCTGTTTCGGAGCCTGATGGACACAGTGAGACAACGTCATGAGGAGCCACAGGTCATGGTCAGATCCAGTCTCAAGGGCGCTGGGGAATTTGGGCTCCTAAATGGGGGCCCCAGGCTGTTGCTCCTGTGTCAAGGCTGGGGCCGTATCCTTTTGATGAAAGAATTGAGTGTATGATATGTAGCATGGCGGTCAGCATCGGTAAGTAGAGTGCGTGGAGGATCTTGACTCATGCAATTTCTCGCTTCGGCAGTCACGCGTAGGAGAAAAAAGTTCGTGAGCGATCGGCGCTATTCTTGGCGCCAAGCCAAGACGCTTGAGCCATCCCTCTAGCATACTTTCGATTAGAATGTATTCTCAAGTCTTTGATTCAATAGTCTTGATACCACAGTCACCTTTGCTTCACCAGAAAGCTGCGTTTAAATTACAGTAGACCACCATGGCTGATTCAATAGACAGCCAGACGCTACGTAGAGGTGGAAGAACCGGGGACTACTCATGACCACAATCAATCAACATGGCCAGCTCCGATAGTAACAATTTCTCATCGTCTTCTCCTCGTACGTATCATCAAACTCTTTAGCTCTTTCGGAACTGAGAATTGTAAGACCGTCTCCCGACAGTATCTGCCTCCCAAGCGCTCCAAAATATTTCGTCGACTCCGAGAAGGCCAATCCCAACAGGACTGAAGAGCCTCGATGCCTTCTTGCAAGGCAGGGAGCATGAGGACTCAAGCCAGACTGTTCCTCCTGTTGGTATTCCACGTGGAGAAGTGACAGAGATATATGGTCCTCCTGGGATTGGCAAAACGACATTAGCGTATGTAGATCGATTTCTTTGTGATATTTACTGTGCAGATAGTGCCCCTTTGCTCCAACGAAGTCAAGTAAGATTGTGGGCTGACACCATGTTCTTACTCAGAATGCAAATCACTGCAAGCGCTCTCCAATCGGGCGGATCCGTTGTCTGGGTAGGTAAGAGATCTTGCCCAGTAGAGCCATTGGTGTGAGCAGGACCACCAGCTCTGACCTTGATATGTAGATGCGTCCTACGAAATCACCGGTTCAAGGTTAAGAGATATCCTCTCCGTTGTCCCTATTTCTGAAGGAGAGGCAACTTCAGATCCCGCGTCGGTTGACCGGTATCTCGAAAAGTTCCATCATTTCATCACGCCATCATTGCCTCATCTGCTAGCTCTCCTGACTCACCAATCTTCAACCTTTCCACCTACGGAGACCAATCTCGTAGTAGTCGACTCCATCTCGACTTTGTTCGCCTTGGCTTTCCCGAAGACAGCGGAGAATGCAAGCAGCCAGCAGAACCCGATCAGGAAAAGCGACGCGGGTCAATGGGCCTCAGGCAGACGTTGGGCAGTGATGGGTGACTTGATCTCCAAGATCAGCAGACTCGCCGCAACGAAGAGCATTGCAATCCTCTTGACGAGTCAGACAACTACAAGAATCAGATCAGAGACTGGCGCCGTGCTACATCCAGCCATCTCTGGCACGGCGTGGGATACGGGAATTAGTACGCGTATTGTGATCTTCCGAGATTGGTTTTTTCAAGCATCAGAGACTGCGAGTAGTCAAGGAGAGTACATACCAGGTGTAAGACTTGCCGGTGTCATGAAAGCCAAGGGTATCTCGTACGAAGGCGTTGGCAAAGTCGTCATGTTCGTGATAGAGAAGGTGAGTCGTCTCGACGGTAGTACGAAAGTATTTCTAAAAGACACAGACCCGTCTCCGGGAGATCACAGTGGACCAGACGAAGATCAGACTAAACGGATCGCCCGTCTTGCCAGCTACATCCTTGAAGCGTAAACGAGGAGAGATTGCCAACAGTCAGTCAGAGGACGAGGAAGCAGAATCTGACCAAGAATTCGGCTGGGCTGCAGACGATCATATACTGACCACGGAAGCGCTGCTTGAATGATCCCCTATCTCTCCTATACTACACACACAGCCTCGGCTATATAGCGGCTAGTGAGCAACTCCGGGCACCATCGCACTGGGCGGTCTCTCGAGAAGCGGTAGTATCCTCAGTATATAAGCTGCACTTTCCCGCCACGTCTTCTAAAGTTTGCTAGCAGAGGTGCTTGGTCCTTGGAGCTGGAAGACCTACAAGGGTCATAGCGCGCAGGAATTCGGAGACTTGGATGACCAAGACAAGGAACGTGACTGGTGCCGCTTAGACACTCGGTCGACCAGAAGCAGCACACCAAGTTCGCGACGCACATCATCGATCAGGTCATTAATGGATTCAAGGACTGCAAGGGGGACCCTGTAGGAGTCGTATACTATAATACTTGGATGGGAAGTCGCAATTACCTATCGACACCAGGGACGTTTCGAGGACTCCGATATAATATCGAGGTGTGCGCCAAAAATCACAGGCAAAACAGTGCATTGATTGCACCCTGAGGTTTTGAAGTTGAGATTGACACTGCCATCTGTACAGTTTGATCCGGAATATCTTCATACCGCATTGGCCGAGGAAGCAAAGGTGTATGAAGATGTGAAGGCTGTTAATTGGGCCGTCCACCCGGAGACATTCATGGCTATGAGCGTTCTGGCAAGTATACTCAGTGAGCTCGCTTTTCTAGACGAAGCCGAGACACTTGAAATTCAAGTTCTAAAATCAAAGATGATTACCCTGTGTGAAGATTATCCAGACACGCTCCCGGCAAAGGAGAATATCGCGGTACTATATCGGCGGAATCTTACCTATCAGACGCCGGGACCATTCCAAGGGAGGTGCTCGCCACACGTCAAAATCTGCTCGGAGAGCTTCACCCTGACTCACTTACAGCTTGAGCCGATTTCGCACAGATCCTCCATGAGAGAGGGGACCATGAAGCGTCGCTCCTTCTCATGAGTGGGGGTTTCAGAGACGGGAGTCAGTACTAGGAGCGTCATATCCATCGGTGATTGATGCTTTGGGAGACACTGCTGCAATTTACAGCTCACTAGGATGGTTGACCGAAGCGGAAAAATGAAAGTCAAGGTTCTTGACAGTTGGAAGATCCATCTGGGCTCGATCCATTCCAACACGATTCTAGCGATGCAGAATTTAGATGGCACCTACAAACAACAACAACAACAACGAGGCGGAAGACTTGGTACAAGTTGAGGCCAATGTTCGAAAAAAGCAAGACATTCCCGATGATCGTCAATTGATGTTAGCTATGGAAATCCTGACATATAGAAGTGTTCAAGGTTATGCCAGGCTTCAGAGTTGCTGCGAGGTGCATGAAGGCAGGGTAGTAATCCTAGGCCAATCACATCCAGAAACACTGAGATTTGAACTGATGCTTGAGCGTCTTTCGTCAAACGGAGGAAATACCCGGAGTCTTCTTGTCTGACACGGAATGGAAAAAAAAACTTAATAGCCCCACTCAGCTTAAAAAGAAACAGGTCCATATCGAGGTTGTTGGGAATGCAGATATCAAGAGAGGCTGTGATCAAGACCTCCCTGCCTGCCAAAACTACATACAGCCGAAGAGAAACTGCTTAGGGTACGGGCTACGGCTGTCATGACCTCGAGCCTCGGACCGACGCAGGATAATTATCTTAACCCGGCAGACTCCTCCATTTAAGCAGAGGCTGTCGTTCGGTCCACTACGTTTCCTGAATACATCGACTTGGGACATTGATCTCCACAACGAAATCATACAGACTGGCGACCACAGGGGACATATCAATTCCGGAAGGCTAGGTCCACGTTCGTCTCACACAATCTCCAAACCCATGAGTACGTCATGGGGAGGCCTTAAAGTGGGAGATCAAGTCTTACTGTCATACTATGAGAGCGTATTGTCCCGAATGGTTACCACAATTGACGACGATCGCATTGGTTTTCGTCATGTCTTGCTCAAGCTGGCTCTTTCTAAAAATCTGTTTCTTCTGATGCGGTTCTTCAGGGCATACTTGCTCTCTCCGCTTACCATCCGTCCGACGGTGGCGCCGGGATTGAACATAATTTCACTGCGATCAATGCTCTCTCAGCATCTATACGCGTATCAACAGAGCCCCGCGACCGATTCTATCAGCTTGCCGAGCATGATCTTGGCCATCTACGGGGTAAACTTGCTTTTCGCTTTGCTCCTGTGGTATGTTTCGAGTCGCGCGCGCGAAGAATCATTCGTTACGATGATTGCGACGTTTGATGTGCTGTTGACATTGCTACTCCTTGGGGCTAATTTGTCGCTACTTGATACGATGTTCAACACTTCTGGATCTCGATGGACCATGTTCTTCTGTGGCGCGAAAGAGATTGGCAGATCCATCTTTGCCGGCACCCACAATTACGACGGCGAATCGGCATTCCTACTTGACTGGGTGTACGGGCAAGATACACTTAGCATGTTCAGCTTGCTGTTCTGGCCACGGAAAGACATAGCACGACGAAATCGTGGAAAAGATCTCTACCTTTTGTCCAACATTGAGGACTCTCCTCATCGCAGGCTCGTAAGTCCGGCTCCAGACTCAGCCCTTGTGCCTTCGCTCCGCTCATACGATAACCTCACGTTAATGGCAGGTTATGGGATGTTTGGGCTGCTCGATTGAGGTGATGAGCATCGTATCGAGACTGAACGAGACGATCCCAACGGACGACAGTGTGAAGCCTGCTCCATCTCATACTGAGGCTCTTAGACCTTTCGAGCAGCGCCTACGATATCTTCACCAGTTTATGACACCTCAAGGTCCCACATTCTCAACCACCAGTAATCAGTCTAGCATTCTAGATACTGCACAACTCTACCACACCGCGGCCCCGATCTCTCTTGAGAGAGCATGTCGGCGAAGGCCAAGATGCGCCCCTGAAGTAGAGCATCTACTCGAAGCCGGACTCACGATTCTGCAAAGGTTCAAGTCTGCACAGTCGTGTGGCCATTGTTCATCATCGCATGTGAAGCGGAGACCGATGGACAGCGGAAAATAGCACTCGCAACCTTCAAGGCTTCGAGAAAGTCTCGGAAAGCCGGATACATTTCATGGGCCCCAGAGACTGACGGAGACTGCGTGGAAACAAGATGATCTCTTCACGTTTGCTCACCTTCTCACAGCTGCGGTACCATTGCTAAGATACGGGTCTATCATAAGCGCCAGCAGTCAGCTACCAAACCTTACATGATAGTCCAGTGAGTGGCTCAAGGAGCTTTTCAAAGCCACTGCTTGTTTCCAAATTGTGAAACGAAGGTCCCACCGTTGCCGTTGCTGATGCTACTTTTTTCAAAAAGCTTCAACATGAGGTTTACAGATTCCTGAGGCGTAATTGGACCCGTAAAATGTGGTGCATAGGCTGCGAATTTACCCACCACATCTTGAAACGCTTTCATGTCCTCGGCATTATCGGAGCCTATGATACGTCAGACCGTATTACTGCAATTAGAACAACTTTCAAAACTACTCACTTGGCACGAGTTCCCCCGTGTCCACAAGACCCGGGCTAATAGCCATGAACAAGATTCCCTCACTTTTGTAAAGCGCATTGTACTTGGCAACAGCAACGTTGACGGCGCCTTTGCTGATGGAATAAGGAGCAGAAACAGCGATATCCAACTGGTTAAGAAAATCGACATCCGCCACGCCGGTTGACAACGTGAAGACCTTCTTCTCTCGACCTCTACGAAGCAGAGGGATGAAGGTGTTGACGGTGTTGATCACGCCGATGACGTTGGTCTCGAAACTGACTTGGAGGTCCTTGATCAGGGTCTGGGGATCATCGGCGCTGCAATGCGTTGGCCTTGTTAGCATCATCTTTTATTCCACAAATCAGGGGATGAATGGGTGTGCTGCGAACTCACAAATCGCCCAGAGTTCGGTAGCGACTCGTATTCGAGATCAATGCGGCATTGTTGATCAAATAGTCGAGACCGCCTCCTGTCAATCTCGCCGTCTCTGTCGCTGCCGACTGGAAGACGATCAGCTCCCATCCAGACAGTTCAGAAATGTTACGGCACTCGTATTCCTACCTTGAGAGCATCAAGATCCGTAATGTCCGCCTCCAAAAAGCTGAGATTCTTCGGCACAGCTTTTCCGAAAGCTTTCTCTGCCGCTGCTCTGTTGCGAACGAGTCCGACGACTACATTCTGCGTATCGCTGGATAGGGTGCTGACGAATTGGAGCTTTGTAAGGGAGGGGAAACGTCAGTGACACGTCTCATCTACGGTGAACTGAGACCTACACCCAGACCTCGGGATGCTCCGGTCACGACGTAGGAAGGCATTCGGATGCTGAATACTATGGCTGATACTGTATCGAATGCAGTTGTCAGAAATATAGATAGAAAAAGTGTATGACGGGCGGTCTTAGGATCCTAATATGCCTTTTCTACTGCTCTACGTCTCCGAACCCCACTTTGCTGCTGACAGCACACCACGTGGGATGCATATAGCTATCGCTTGATCCTTCTGCTTTCCAAGCCTAAATATTATTAATCCCAAGCGACCAACGAGGAGCTCGGGTTTGCGCTGACTAATCGCAGTTTCTTGCCGCTACTATTTTGATTACCAATGGAGGAGGCGCAAAACGCACATCGGAGCTGTACGGTGGGGGGTTCTGAGAGGCCAATGGCGAAGATTGGGAGCAGCAGTGCGGGGCAGATGCTGCGTGATCGGTAGTACGATTGGAGTGGCACGTCATCTGATAGATATCTTTTGGGGATGTTCATGCTCAGAGTTTGGATATCTTTTCTTGTATTCTAGGATGTCTGGCTTTGCTGTTCTCACGCTTGGTTCCGTCTGTGGACGCTTCCTGTTATAGATCACGATAGTTGCTGTTCAGAATTGGGAGTGTGTATTCTAACATGCTGCCCCTGCTCATGTGCTCGCTCTGCTTCCTCCCACGAACATCCATCGCTTGTCGAAGAAGCAGACCCCCTTTGATCATCCCCGGCCCGGGCTCTTTCCAATATCTGACCAAATCCAGCAAGAAGACTCTCAGTCATCCTACCACCTCGCTATAGCAATCCCTTCCACCTTCAACTCCTAATAATACGAAAAGCGATTCCGTGGGTAAACGGACTGTAGCGGTTTGTGACTGGCAGGATATGTAACGCTGCAATCGCATACGCTGAGCCTCTAGCCATGACTCCCCCCCCCCATCATCACCATAAAAATCCCAATACCTTCAAACCTCGTCCAGATACCCATCTTTCCGCGACAAATCCCCGTCTCAACCGTACAGGTCTGTGAACTCGGTCCTGGCTTTTGGCGCCCTTCTGCCCTTCCTGGGGTTTGACGCCTTTCCAACGCATGGTATGAGCGGCCGCGGTTGAACTTCGCCCCGGATTTCGGTTCGGGACGACGCTGGTTGCGTACGTATTCGAGTTGATGGTTGTGATGCGATCAATAATGCCGACCCCGGCGACTTCGGGAGAAGGGGATTTGCATCGGTACAGCGCTGAGTCATACGATACCTGATGTCACGCTTTTTCGAACTCGGTGGCATGGTTGTGCAATATTCCTGTTGCGGACTTCCTCCCGGTGAATCATTCTTGGGGTCGAGGCGAGTCGTTTTGCTGTATGTCTTTGTTTTGAGATAGATGGTGGTTGGATTTTTGGAGCGCTCGGTCTGTTGGTGCTGGATCATCGGTGTGGAGTGGAACGGGAGGGCTGGAAGATGGCTGTATGATATGATTAGTAGACAGCTGTCTCATCTTCTCGAACGTGAGTCACGTGGCGACTGCGCTGATGTTCCACGCCGGTTGGCAAACATCGCTGCCCGAGAAGATGCTCGCTTTCTTTTTCGGGACATGGCGGCTGATAGTCGCAACCACATTACAAAGGCGCCGGAGTCGACGATAGCTATAACTATCATCGTTGACGTAAAGCATACCGCTGAATATCAATATATGGGTTGTGCTTCTCTTGCAGTCAACATATTTAGTCAAGAAATGGGATTGAGATGATTTCATTTGCGGATGGTCCATATGGCAATGAATGGGTCAGCAAATAGGAAGCATCCCCGATCAGCCCCGTCGACCTCTATCAGGACGTGAGATCGATACAATACGATCAGCCATCATTGGCCGCTCCTGTCTAACACTATTGTCGCTTGTACCTGCGTATTCGACGATCCTTATCATCATCGTGAACCTGTCTTCCGACCGGCACATACTCGTGGATTGCGCTTTTCTTGCGCGATTATCCTTCCGCGTGTCGCGATTTCGGGTCGGGCCTTCGTGGTGGGTACCTGAATGTCAAGCGAATTGGTAGACTTTTGTCTTCGTCTACGCGACCCCACAATTTTGTTAAACAGTCCGTAGATTCCTGGTGCGGATCGTGGGGTTTCACATATCATACCGTGCATGTCCGGAGGAAGATCATCCCACTTTCCTGTTTGCCTGAGATAGAATCCTCGCGTCTCGGGGATCACTTTTTTTCGAGGATGTTTCGTCATTGGTATTTAGGTGAGTCTTCTCCCTGTCCCCTCTATCCTCCTGCTGTCTTGCCTTCTTCTACTGTCTTTGCCTTTAATGTCACTCGTTGCTTGGTCTTGAGATATTGTTCAAGAACATATGTGACCACTGTGTTGCAGTCAACGCTCGCTACCTCAACTCTGTTTACCTCCATGTTCACACAAGCTTGCCGGAATATTGTTGATGATGATGCACGTTCTTTCCATACTATCCACAATCGCAGTCGCATGTTTTGCTTCGACCGCATTCGCAGCGTCCGTCCCCGTCCAAAGCGAATCCACAAACTTAGTAGCTGGGACCACACCCTCACCTCCATCCGCAGCCCTCGACACTGTGAACCTGACAACGCCGTAAGTCCCTCCGACACTATTGACCCTTCTTCGCACTGTATCTTATGATCATAACCCATCTCCAAAAGCCAAACGTCGCCCTGGCCACGAGCCCCCTGGGCCTACAAAATCCCCGGCCACTCGCCCCAACACCTCGTCTTCGAAGAAATCTCCGCCGAAGACACCGGTCTCGAAGGCCAGCAGTCCACGCTCCACGCCTGCGACGAGGTTGTCCGCTGGCTGTGGGAAAACTACAAAGCGGATCAGAATATCGACCATGCTGGTGTGCAGACGAGTACATTCAGCGGCGAAAAGGCAGGCCATGTGGTCATTGTGTTCGTGCCCGTTACCGTGGGAGGCGCGATCGACAGAGAGCTGGCGTTGGACAGTGTGAGGGCGTTGGAGAGCCTGGTGTGGAGGTACGGCGGGCACAGTTTGGAGTGCGAGATTTTGTCGGGGGTGAAGCTGAAGGGGAGGATTTCTATTTCGATCAAGGTCTCGAACCCGACGAGTGAGGTGTATTCTGATACTGATGTTGATACTGATGCTGGGGCAACCAGCACGTCACAGTAGTATTGGTTGCACACTCGGTTCAATGGGCGGAAGAAAAATACAAAAACCAAGTGCACTCAGTCTATGGATTGGATATCCATACCTCTCGGCACTGTGGCTGAATCCCTTGGTCCTAGTCAGCGTCGGTGACCGACTGGGTGTCGACGAGCAAGTGTTTGACAGAATGTGGTTAGAGTAGCATTTGTGAGGAAGGATCACCCTGTCAGCCAAGATCATAGCACCAGAGGGCTGGTGTGCCAAGAACACCTTCCCACGGCGTCCAAAGCCTCAATTAGTACATTGACTTCCAGGATAGGCTAGTACAATGCGCCAGTATATATATTCTGTAAAAGGACCTGCGTTTGGCCATAGATTGTATATCTTTTGTTGCCTTGCCTTGACTACGAGGCGCGCGTTATGCCGGCACGCTCACGCGGCTTTGGCGTATCCAAAATTCTAAACGTCTCGATGAGGCTCTTCTTTTGACTCGGAGTTTCCTCATCCTGCGGCAGCATCGTAGCTCTGAAGCCACGAACGTGGTGGCTTGACCGATATCATCTCCTTAGTGTAGATTACTATCACGCCCATCGTCCGTACCCGTGCCTTCATCGTGGTTGCTGTCTTTCTGACCCGGCCTCGCTTTCGGAACTCTAGGCCCCACACCGAAGCTCAGTATGGTTAAGAGGCGGTCAATATGCATGCATTCCAAACTCGCTTCACGACCGGACGCCCTGGGAGGATAGCATGTTTGAACTTATGAGAGAATACTCATCATGCTTTGTCTCAAGGCTAAATATTCAGCCTCAGCTTTCTCGACATCTTGTACCCTGATCATATGTGCCACCATCCATCCATTGCTCATACAGAAATACAAGCTCTCCCGCCGTAGAGATATCCTCCAGGTATCCCCATGTCCCACATCTCAGGTGTGCATCTCTCTGCTACCAAAACATCCACTCCCACTCTTAGGCATCGAAGCCGTAGCTACCCTTCAGCTTCTCGACCAACTGGACGTAGTGCTGCTGGGCAGCAGAGGGTGTGACTTTGTCTTCGACGGCAACCTTCTTCCAGGCATTGTACTTGTACTTCTCCTGTATGCAGCAGCTATTGTCAATCGGCCGTTCATGGCAAGAGAGTGTGTTGGGGGAACGGAGAGGAGAGGGTGTAATCAACGGACCTGGAAAGCGAAAGTGCCGGGCTGCGTGGCCTTTGAGAAGTCTTCTCCGGTTCCTTGCTTGTAGTTTGCGTAGAGCTAAACGTGAGTGATCTATCAGCGTGTTTTCCTTCGACTCCACGGGGACACGAAAGAGGAGAGGAAGACGGTACCTCTAGAAGCTCGTCATTGTTGGGTTTTGCCTTGAGCTTGCGGGATTCTTCGACTGCTTTCTTGAACGCGGCGGTTTGGGCGACCATTGTTGCGGTTGGATTGATTTGTGATATGTGGTTTTTGATGAATAGACGCTGTATTGCTTGTAGGTGAGCGGAGGATGAAGAGTGTAGCAGAGTGGGGTGAGGGTCTTGGAATTGGCGGGGTGGACCCTGATCGAGGCTGCGGTAAAGCGGTACTTGTAAGGCTGAAGGGCTGAATCTTGTCATTAGTCCAGTAGTCTTGGCGCTTCACGGGTCCAACAACTTCTTCACAGATGACGAGAAAAAGTGCCAAATGTCATAGCATGTTATACTTGAACGGTGGTATGTTGTGAACTACCCCAAATACTCTGTGTGACTAACATGAACTGGATGATGCCCAATGCACTTCCAGTGTTCTTTCCACTATTCTCAGCCTCTGACCTCTCATATTCAGAATTCCCTTCTCTTTGAAAAGCATTTCTGTCATTCCTTTCTCTGCAAGGTCTCTGACGGTCTCTGATTTGATTTGCGTCAAGCCTTGCTTTATTGCTGTAATATGAACCCTGCCGAGGAGTCTCGAAAGCGTAGAAATTATGATGCCTTCCAGTCGTCGAGGGACAGGTCTATATCGCCTCCACCGAAGAGACATGCATCCACTGTCAGGGGCAGGTCTGAAAGGGAAGAAGCCGGGACTTTGGGCGTAGTCAACGCGGCAGCCCCTTTCACGTTGTCTTCGGACAATGGCAGCGATCCCTCCAAGTCAACCAAACAGGCGACAAGTCCTCAGTCTAGGACGCTTTTCCCATCACCGATGCAGCTCAATTTCGTCGAGCAACTCCCCGCATCAAGCAATGTCGACTGCGTGAGTCTGCGAAGCATCCTCGGAGACCCTATGATTAGAGAATGCTGGCTTTTTAATTACCTCTTCGACATGGATTTTGTTATGTGGGACTTGCTACTCGTATGGGAAACATGGCCACTAATGTGAATCCAGGAGACATTTTGACCGAGACACTCGTGATCTTGTGCAAGTCCGAGTCGTGCACGGTTCCTGGAAAAGAGAGGATCCAAACGGAATACACGTCGAGGTAAGCCCATCTCCATCCCTTTTTCGGTGCGTCATTCGACAAGAGACTAATCAAATATAGGACGCAGCGAGGCGATATCCGAATATCAAAGTAATCAAAGCGTTCATGCCAGAGATGTTCGGGACGCATCATACGAAGGCGATGGTCCTCTTCAGACATGACGACCTGGCCCAGGTCGTGATACTTACAGCCAACTTCATTGAACGGGACTTCCGGATGAGTCAGGCCATCTGGAAGACCCCTCTGCTTCCATTACAGAAACACGCTTCGTCTCCCAGCGATCCGTTACCGCCTCTTGGTACTGGAGTTCGATTCAAACACGATCTACTCGCGTACTTCCGTGGATACAGCAGAAACGGGAATGCTACCCTTCCAGACTTGATCTCGCAGCTACAGAACTACGACTTCAACGCTGTAAGAGGCGCTCTGATCGGGAGCTTACCAGGACTTCAGATGCCGGACCAGTCCCGCCCGGAGCAGCAAGACCGAATCGGACAGTGGGGCTTGCCCGCTCTGAAACGCATTCTGAGCTCCATACCCACCAATCCCGACCAGTCTGCCGACTCGGAGCGTTCACATATCGTCGCACAAGTTTCCTCCATCGCTTCCGTCGGTGAGAAATGGCTCTTCACCACCCTCATACCCACCCTATCCACCACCGCCCCCGCCCAACAGCCCCTTCCCAAACCCAAAATATCCCTCATCTTCCCCACAGCCTCCGAAATCCGCAACTCCGTCGACGGCTACGGCTCCGGTTCCTCCATCCACATCAAGACCTCCTCTCCCACTCAGGCCAAACAACTCGCAGTCCTCAAACCCATGCTTTGCCATTGGTCCGCGCGCCCCACCCCCAAAACGCTCGATCCAGCGAGCCGAGAACCGGCAAGACAAACAGGCAGGGGCAGAGCGGCGCCCCATATCAAAACCTACGTCCGCTTCTCCGACGCCGCCACGTCCAAGATCGACTGGGCAATGATGACCTCGGCGAACCTGAGCACGCAAGCCTGGGGCACCGGCCCGAACGCGCGCGGCGAGGTCAGGATCTCCAGCTACGAGTTGGGCATCGTCGTCTGGCCCGCTCTGTGGCAGGACCCCGAGTCTCCGCGCCCGCCGACCATGGTCCCGCTCTTTCGATCCGATCTGCCCCCCTCTGTCGACCGTGAGCGGCTCGGAATCGATGGTGTCGCGGTCGGCTGGCGCGTGCCGTATGACCTCCCTCTCGTCCCGTACGCCGGAGATGAAACACCGTGGTGCGCGTCGGATCCGTGCGATGAGTTGGATTGCATGGGTAGGGTTTGGCCGGGGTATGGGCGTTGAAGGGGATAGGACGGTTAGATGCGACGATGCTGCTATAAGGTGTGAGGGGGTCCGCATTGCATCGCTGTGAATGTCTCCGAGAGGGTTTGTGCGGACGAGAAGTCGAGCCTCGGGTTTGCGCGATGGGAGGATCGGCTTGAATGTATGTCACATGGACATGGAGATGGTTCGTTGATCGTAATTGCTGCGTACTATTAAGTGTACAGAATAAGGTATCGACCACGAAATGAAAACCTAAAAACCTTTCGTCGATCGGCAAGGTGATACCATGACCGCGGGAAATTCCTCCGCGGAAATCCATATTATCGTATACGCGACTTCCCTGCTTCCTTTCATCAACAACACACCATGTCGTCCTCCCCTCTCTCCTTGCACCGCCGCTTCCCCCCGTCCCTCTCACACGCCCACGTATTATCCTTTTCCACCATCCATTGGTCTCCCTCCTTGAGACCCACATGCTGAATGTCGCATCCCTTATGGCCCCATTTCTGCTCGTAGACTTCGACGCCCGCGGCGATCGTCAGCTGTAAAGCTTTTTCCCATCCGTCGGCGTCGTAGTAGAAGGGCTCGCCCTTGCCGCCGGATTGTTTCAGTTGCCAAGAGTTGCGGTAGGGGTCTTTGCGTTTTTCGTCGGCGAGGGATTCGAGGGTCGTTTGTAGAGCTGTCCAGCCTGGGCCACCGAGGGTGTCTTCTTCGGTTGAGGAGAGGTATTTGAGGTTTGCCGGCGCGGGGGGTTGGTGGGGCGTAGATGCAGCTGCCGTGCTGTTCTTTGGCTCTCCGATTGTCACTTTCCCATGTTCCCCGACGGTGACGACCGTCTTCTCCTTTTCAGCCCCCCTCTCCGCTTTCGCTTTCTTTCTCCTCCTGTACAGCACCTCCAAATCATCCAAGCTCCTCCCCACATCAAAGACCTGGCCTGCGTCCGCAATCGGCGTCTCCAACCCATTCAGCGCAAACCGGCCATGCATATCGCAGTCCGTCCCATAATAGCCTATCATCGTATCCCATCCACCCACCTTTACATAAGCCTTCACGTTGACAAGAGCCAGCCAGTCGTAGCTGAAGAAGCGCACGGCCCAGCGATCATGAGGTTCGTATTTTTGGGAGAAGGATTCCCGGATGACGTCGACGGCGATGGCGTAGAGGGATTTGTAGGGTTGAATGTCTTCATGGGTTTGGGGAACGGTGTCCATGTGGGCCCAGAAATAGTGGGTAAGGTTGTTGTTTATCGCCTCTGACAGGTACAGGTTCTGTAGCTGGGCAAAGGTTTGGAGGGAGGGTGTGGTGATGACGTTGACGCCGAACAGTTCGGTGAGGCGATGGTAGTCGAGATAGAAGGGGTTCTGGGATGTGAGAAGCCCGTTTTTGTTCGCGTCAAAGGTCCCTGTGTTCTCCACGACGTAGATATCCTCGGGCGGCCAGCCGGCCGTTATGTAGCCAACTACCACCTGCTGCAACAGGGGCCAGTAGCGTGTGAACCCTATGTAGAGTCGCGTTGACTCTGACACATGGGGTGTAGGCGGCTTGTTCCATGATGGAACAGGAGGTAGGTCTGCGGGTGTCCGGGCGCTGGCGGCCAGAGGGAAGTATTCGCCCAAGGGGGGCGGCGGTGACGGTTTGGGGGGCTTGTAGATGATAGAGGGTCCTTCATCGACGGGTTCTGCTCCGCTTGGGGGAGGTGGGCGATAGGAGGTGTATGTTGCGAGAAGTGGCCGGCGGATTGTGTACAGGGTCAGGGTGAAGATGGTGAGGATGAAAGGGACGAGAGCCCAGCAGGAGCGGAGTGAGGGGATAATCATGGTGGACGAGGAATGGCCGATATCATGGAGAACAGCTTCGGCCCTCCATGGTTATCGGTTCGTAGGTTGGGAAGGCCTAGGGGGCCGCTGGGAGCACTGTGCTCTAGAGTGTACTCCGTAGAGTGAGGTTTCCTCCTTGCTTGGCAGATTTGTTTCATCAAAAGCGGCGACGGGTTCTGGTGGAGAAAACGGTTCGTTTGGGGGTCCTTTTATAGCCGCTTTAAAATAGCGCTAAAGACACTCCCATCAGATTTGGGCGGCAGGTGTAGTAGTTAGACTCTCAAGTTTACACGGACAGTCTACACCAAAGTTTTGATTGACCAGCAGGAATTTTAGAAGACTGCTCCTCCATAGCACCAGCATCTAGCGCGTCTTCCCGACCCTAGCAGAATCGCCAGGGAAGTCCCACCGAGCACATACTCTACGGTTGAGATGGCAATATGCTTTAATTGAAGAAGCCCTATTTGCTTTTGGTATCAACTTCATTCCCTCCCATCGTCAAATAGTCCTACGCTGTTGCCATATGCAGCGCCGTTGCGGCTGGAACGAATTCTTGAGGTTTATATTGCAGTCAGGGGCGCATGGCACAGTTTGACACAAGTCACGGGAGCAGGGGGGTGATAGCTATACAGGTGTGGGCGGGTGGGATAAAAAATGTTATGGCTCGGAAAGAGATGACTTCGAATGAAGAGTTGCTCTCTGAGGCGGAATAGATGGCTGTAATGCTCGTAGTGAACACGTATATCCTGCTATGGACACATATACGAAACCTACGCCCATATCACGAGACCCACTGTGGCGAACTTATAATTCATCTTTAAACCGTGAGCTTGGAAGAGGTGCGGATACTTATTTCAGGTCCTCACCTTGATACCCTCTCGCAAGTCTTTTCACCTCAATTGTCAATGCATTGAGATGCGTGAAATCATCAGCGTCCTCACCCAAACCCCAAGCAAACGCACCGCCCAGACCCTTCTTTTCCATAATGGCTGGGAACTTTTTAGCGATGGCATCTGGCGTATCCCAGCTCCACCAAAGGTTTTCCTCCGGATCCCAGTAGTAGTGACCGCCATATTCGCTGTCGTACTTGCCATGTGCGATGGCTCTTTCGTACGAGGCGGACACGTCATCAGGAACAGGGTCGTGCCATGAAAAGGCACCCGCCTGGCCAAGGTCGGCGCCTGTGAAGGGGTCTTCCATCAGAGCGGTCTTGCAGCCGACCGGGTTTTTGTCGCATCCTCCGTGGGGATCGGTCTTGTACCATTTGATGTAAAATGCGAAACCTAGATTCATCTTCTCCGACGGGATGCCTCTCTCTTCGTAGGTTTCGATGGCGGTCAGAGATGGCTCGATGCCGGTATGGTGTTTTGTGACGTCGTCTCTTCTGTTCATCAGATCGTAGGTCATGACATTGAAGAAATCCAGCGATGCGCTAATTGCCGGTACCGTGGTCTTGGTGAAGGCCAGCATATCTCTAGGGAGCCCCGGTACAGCAGCCGAAATGAGCTTTTCGGGACCCAGAGCAGAACGAATCTCCGATAGCAACAGTGGATAAGCTTCAATCTCCCAGGCTTTCTCTGGATTCGGGATCTGCTTGTAATCTTCGCCGTTTCCACTGTCTTGATTTTAGCGATGCATGAGCTGTCAACCGTGGAAACGCTACAGCAACAGGCTTATGAGTATAATCACTAACCCCGGGTATTCCCAATCGATGTCAACACCTGGAGGAAGTTTAGAAAGACCATATTCAGATTCAACGTATTCGGTTTACCATCTGCACCAGTGGCATCCACCATTGATTTCACGTTATGTGCGAACAGCTTACGAGTAATTTCGGTGGCTGCCGCGATGTCGAAACCTGCTGTATTGCCCCAGCCTCCAATGGCTACCATGATGGCCGTTCCATCCGAGAACTGTGAACGAGCTGCCTCTACCGTGGTGAAGAGAGGCCATGACGACGGTTTCACTTGATTGAATGTTGCGGGACTCATGAAAGCCAGAGCCACATGTGTGATGTCTGATACAAGGGATTTGTCCGGCACGACATTATGCTGTCTATCATACCATAAGTGGAGTGCGTAGTCGAGAGAACTTGAGCCTACCAACCCAGTAAGGTACATCATATATCTGGTACTGGCACTGGCCATATGAGCATGGCGACAAGAGCGGCTGAGAAGCGCATGAACATATTCGAGGCTTGCGATTCGTATGTAGGAGTGTCTTCTGTCGTGGCATGCACCGGAAATCGCACAGTCAGCGCCAGCGAATCTCAACACCAAACAGTGCTGCTACCGGGCTCAGACTTGGAGGAAAAAAGGTCAGATATTAAAAGGAAGCTCAGCCTTGATCAAATGATTGTTCCGCCAGCATGTCGGGATTTCTTGAGTAACTGTTAAGGTCAAGTACGGAGGTCGGCACTAAAAGTCCTGCACAGCGCTAGTATCAACCCTAGCCCTGACATCGGAAGGTGACCCTTGTAGCGGAAGACCCCAGGACTATGTATATCATAGGCGCAAAAATTGAACTTCAGGGATCTTTCGGGGCGCGATACAGGTCCTTTAGGCCCCAAAGTGGGCCAAGGCTGAAGGCAAGGTGCAATCCCGAGAGAGTGCCAAGTGCAGTGGCTAGACCGCTACTACCATAGGCACTAAGCACCCTGATGGACCCTCGGATAAATAACCATGATTATTATCATCACTACTGTGCTGTTGAAATCAACCACCCTTCGCTCCCTCGACCGCCTCCACCTCATCCCCAAAACTCTCAATCCGCCCCCCACACATCTCCACGAATCGCTCCGCCATCTCATCCCCTTTCCTCTTCCGCGAAACACACCCTCCCCTGAACATTGGCCTTTTGACCTTTTCAACCTCCAACCTTCTCAATGTATACCGTTCATTGATGTACTCATCACTCCTCCCATCACTCCCCCAGTCCAGCACCCATTGGGCAAAAGCGCGATCGTTTTTGCTACTACCCTGGCAGGTGAGGAGTCGGTGAGCCCATGCCGTGATGTCCGGGTCGTTTCGAGGCATCGACTCTGCGTGCGCGCGGAGGAGGAGCGCGAAAAGTCTGACGGAGACCGTGGCGTCGCTCACAGCCTCGGGGCCGGGGCGTCGGTCCAAAGTTGCGACTTCGGGCCCACCGCGCTTTGCGACCAGCCGAAAAAGCTCCGCCGGCGGCTCAAATGGGCGATCGTCATGCGATGGGGTCTCCTTATACTCAGCAAACCTGCTAGCGTGCCATATGAGTACGAGAAGCGCCTCGTGATTACCCTGCACAATCGCATTCCTCATCCCTTCGTACAGCGCCGACGGATCGTACTGTACTGTGCGGAGGTCCACGTGGCTGCAGACCATTTGCACAAAGTCGATTCGAGAATGCGTCCATGTCGGGTGGCCCGTGAGAATATGCGAGGGCAGGCATAGAACGTGCGTAGGCGATACCGTCAGGTTCGGAGTCGCGCGGGTGTCGAAGCGCGGGTCGTGTCCGTTGTAGGTCACTCGTATGGCGGTCGCTAAGCGGCGTGGGTACTCCAGAGCGATGGTGCTTCCATCGAGGGCTGTGGCGCTGAAGGTGCAACGGCGGGCTGGAAGCTGGGCGATAAAGGCTTCTAGGCGCGTTTGATCGGAAGGTGATAAGGGCAGGTGAAGCGTCAAGAGCAGGTCCTTCATTACTGCTGACATGGCTTCTGAGAGATATCGTTTCGCGCGGTGGAATGTACACCATCGGTACTCGAGCACCGCCTCTTGACGTTTCGTGCGTGCGCGAGCGTCGTCAATTTCTCTGCTAGGCACGGGCAGCGGGCAGAAAAGATCCTGCACGTGTGGACCGGGCTCGTAGGCTTGTTGAACTTGTGCTCCAGCGTAGACGAGAGGCGTCCTGTTCCAGAAAGCGTGCAGGAAGGTGATCTTGTAAATGTGTTGCGTAGAGAGCGCGGTTGCCAGTATAGGTGATGCGTGGGGTAGGTGGGGTGAGAGGCAGTGTAGGTAAATAGATTGGAGGATTTCGGTCGGGAGGGAGAGCAGATGCGCTTTTGCCATGGCCAACGACTGGCTTTGCATCGATATTAGCAGATGCGAAGCTGATATGTATGAGAGGGAGAAGGGTGGGTGATCAAAATGGAGAGGGGAACTGAGTGAATAAAAGGTAAGTAACAACTCTGGACTGCGTCACAATGCGATATATCCAGTGTTGTAAATGTTAAGCAAATCATTGCGAAATGCATCGAGGACTGCTTGACTCGATGGTCGTATTTAAGATGAGAACGCTCTCACACAGGGATTGGGTTGATTACTGCGCCGCTTCCTCATCGTCTCAGTGTTCAATACCACTAGTAATTTATTTCTACGGGCGTTTGTATTTTTACATCCTTACCTTTCTGATCATGAACTTGACTTGGAAAAGGTAACGATGCAAATCACAGGAACAAAAAATGTCCTTGCCTTCTCGAACATCAAGACTAAAATTACATGGACCCAAATCCTCATCCTACATTACTCACTCGGTGCCTCTCATATATCCTCCTTCCACCATGAGGAGGGAAAACCGATAATCCATCCACATTGAGATGCAAGGTGCCACAGAAAATTGGAAACACCAACACTATATCATCAACCGCTCATCCTGGCCATCGCTAGGTAACCCGCCAATTCCAGGATACAACCTCCTATGTCCAGTGAATGACCTTGTCATACGACTTCGCAGGTACAGAGCCAAGCCGGTGCGACACATCAGACAGGGTATTCAAGTTGCGTGGGTGTAGATTGGCTCCAGACTTCAACGTCTGTGAAGACACGTCGAAACATCCACTGGTCATATTCGAGGTGCAGACATTGTAGATGGTGTGAGTGCACATATCACAGTACAGCCCCTCCTGCGTGGACACAAAGTCAGGGCCCATGGAAGTGGTGCTATCACAGACTTCCTGAGCGCTGTGCGCTATGTGATCACTGATGACGACGCTACTGTCACCGCAGGCTTGGTTGCTACGCCTGATCTTCGATCTGCGCTTCGCGCCGTTGCTTTCAGTTCCCAGCATTCGAGATGCGTTCATTGGTGCATTGAATTGTGCATGCATTGGGACACCCGGACCTGGAGTGCAGGAGACACTCCCATCGACCAATATCAAGCTGGTGTCAACAGGATCACTGCCGTCGGATTGATATGCCAATGGTGGGGAAAAGACCGGGATGCACTGTTTCTCGCTGGTAAGGTCGGAGCCCCAGAGGTGGAATCTTGGTCTGCTTTTGCACATCGTAGCAGGGTTCTCTTGATATCCCATCGCTCGCACTTGATTAGACCCGAAGTCTGGGACGTGGATGCTGAATCCCTGCGCGAATTCGTCCCCGGTCCCGGGATCCGGACTATCGAGCCAGATGCAGCTTGGTTTGAACTCTGGGTCTTCATTGGTTTCGACGAGGAGATTGGAAGGATACCATTTCCCTCCACATTGCTTCCCTACATCGCCGTAGAATTGGTTCTTGTCGCCCGATGCCATGGTGATGGCGAGATAAGCAATGCATATCTGGTCTGTTCCGCCACTGGTGATGGATATGTATTCGGCGGGTGCATTGTTGGTGTGGTCGTGGTGCTTGACAACTATGTCTTTGAACTCGCCTGATTTTATGGTCTTCTTGCCATGGCTGGTTCCTAGTTGATTTCCATTGCCGTCGAACAATGCGATGTTGGGTATGTTGCCTCCGATGGTTCCGTTCCCCAGGTCACTTTCTTGCGCCAGACCGACTCCGATACGCACAGTGGTGGTTGCTTTGTAGGGTTTGGGAAAGAAATCTATAGCGAGCGGAATCATGGATAGAGCCAGGAAAGCTCCATTCAGAGCGAGAGCCATGTGACGGGTGTCTGTCGGCGATTCGACTGATGAAATGCAGAAATTCTGACTGCTGAGGGGTAAAGGGAGCAGTGACTGGTGAAGATATCTCGACCAAACTCAAAATGAACGACAGAGTATAATAAAGGACAAGGTCAGTGTAGAGATACTAAAAAAATGAAAGACGTTATTTGTGAGAGGACGAGAGGCGCGGTGGATGAACAAAAAGCAGCTCACCACCTACATAAGTACAGCTACCGATCATAACAGTGTGTGCCATTACTCGGGGATGCTTCGTAATGAAATTCAGGTACAGACCCCTCGAATGAGGCTTACCAAGAGTTGGTATCAACGGTAGTACTTTGGCACACCGGATGTGTGGGCGACCGTTGGGTTGTTCTGGGTTCTCATACAAAAGCCAAACATACACCATGAACAACGAGATTCGCATGTTCCAAACCATCAACACAGCCTCATCAGAGAGTTGAATTACGTGGGTGTTCACCTCCAATCGCGACATTGCTTTCCCCTCACCCTAAGCCACTGACGGGGTCAAATCTGGAGAAAATAATGACTCCAGGTGCGTGCGATAAGAAATGAAAGGATAGACCTGAGGTTCATGACTGAGGTGTGGTTGTGGGTGGTGTGAAGCATGGGTCGCTAATTACAGGCCAGCTGCTTTGTAATCTGTTACAGAGGTTTCATACTTTACACTAGCGCCAATACATGGATTGATCTTCTCCCCTTCGAGTAATGCTAGCGAGTCAGGATCATCATCACTTCACACCACGCGACCGTTGAAACACAACAACAGCGCCGGCATAACCAAAGCTCGCATCCACGATGGACATTTTTGTAACAGTGCCATATAATTTAATTGATATGACAAGGCGGCAATGCGACCAGTCTGGCCAGGATGTTTCGCGACTTACAGGAAATTCGCAGCCTTAACCTCAAGCCAACCTTTCTTTCATACACACGAGTGCGAAAATAGATCTGTTGCGCTCACACAGAAGAGCGTGGCCCAAAATGGGTAGCTAAGTCATCAACCCGGCTGGAGACTGCCAAATCCCCCTTCTCGCTAAGCATCGCATAATCGAAATGCGAGTCAGAAAGGTTCTTCGCTGGTGTACATTACATCTCCAAGCTCTCTCCATGTTCGCCGAGTTTCGAACGGCAATGACATGATTTGATCCGACTAGACTTCTCTGATGCTCAGCACCCAAGCAGATTGCATAATTTCATCTAGTATCAGACTCCAGGTTGATACGGGTTTCAAGGAATTCTGACACTGTGCGATAATGGTGTTCCTGAAACGTTTGATCGCATCTCATGTTGTCGCTCCTTATTCAAGAGAAAATGAAATGCCTCGTCGCGACCGTTGCAAGGATTGGCACCACTAGTGCACCTATCGAGGCACATTTCGAACTAACCTCTGATCAAACATTCCGCCTAGTGGAATGATCCATTATCTTAAAGCCTCACGATGCTTGTACATCCAATCTACTGTTACTGTTGGTAATCTGAATATCTTGATAAAATGTTGTCATTCGACTAACATGTGCAATTCGGCTGCAGGTGTAGCGGTATGATCGTATGTCGATCGCCCTTGGCTGCAATTGAATGGGTCAGGCAATTAGCAGCTTTACCAGAGACTGCTCAGGACTTTCGTCTCAGCACGAATGCTCAGCCCACTCCAACACGTTATTTCTCCTTACTACTTGAAGGAGGTACCATGAGATTGCCTTTTACATGTCCGCTCTAAAGAAATTTTCACATACAAAAAGGCTGCAATCCTTTGTATTCCTTCACCATCTTAGCGACGATAATCCGTTCAGAGTCGACAGGAGTTCACTTCGTTTCCGGTATCATCAACAGTCATTATTTAATCTACCGTTCATTTTCTAGGCTCATCTTATTCGATCCGGATCCGCTCCTTCCCTGAAAGCATCGACTTTCAGTATTCCATTCCCGAGGAAAAATCATCCAAATGCATCTTTCAGCGCGTAGCAAGCTACTGGCGATCGCGTTAAACTGTCTCTACCTTCCCCTCCTAGTTCGAGGTCTACCATACAATGTCAACGAACTAGTCGTCCGCGCAGATGTTGTGGATTTGGACCCCACTGTCGACGATACAACCGGTGCCGACGATGACGGGACAACCGCTGCAACAGGCACACAAGATGCGGGATCTGACACATCAACGGGTAAGTTCTTCTTATATTATTCGAACGACATCCCCTTTCCAACCAGTGTCTAGAATACGACTGGCCTTGGCCGGTCATTCCCGACTCTGGTGCACACAACGGAATAAGTGAGGGTCTCGACTCGGCCGGACGGCCCTACATCAACTACGCCTTGAACACAATCGAGGGCGCCATACCGGCCGAGCGTCGAAGTCCTGTCTTTTTCACGGATGTGAAACCGCCTGCTCCTGACAATTTTGTGGAAGAACACCTGGGCGGCAACGGCTGGGACTACTTTGATGCGTTTCGCGATGATTGGGAGGTACGTTATGGAAGGTTTTCTCTCCTCTGATGTGCCCTAGACTTGTTTTTAATGATGACTGTACGTTTTGGAAAGGGCATGCTGACTTTTGCATTCTCATAACAGAATAGTTTTGGGAGTCAAAGAAAGATACCATTGTCAGATTCAGAGTATTGGCTCATTGTCAATAGAGCTTCAAATGGTAAGCTTTCTCGAGATCATTCCACCAGCAGGTATGCAAATTAACAGGGCGTCTTCAGCCATGGCTCGAAGCAACATGGAGTCCGAAGTCTTCGTAAGCATGGACTCAGAAGGCGGCACTAGAAGCGTGTTCAACGGGGTTCAAACCTATGATGGTAAAGGCGACATTGAAAAAGAAGCTACATGGAAGCCTACAAATAAGGGTATGTCCCCTCTCGAAACTTTACATCAACGCACATACATTATTGACACGCCGCTCATCACAGGTGTCGGCCAAATCTTTTACCAAACCGAACTTCCCGTCCTGATGCGCAATCCCAACACCAAAAAGATCACCGCGTATAAGAAGAACGACCAAGGCAATTACGAGTTCACGACGCAGTGGGACGCTAGTTTGCCTCGCTCCAATGTAAGCAGTGTTTTCTTTCGCGCGGGTCAGATTCGCTGTCGGAAAAGGTGGCCATCGTAGCGGAGGAGTCCTCAGAACCCCGACAAAATCAACAAAGAGGACGAGCTTTTCCGTTGATCGGACGCTTCATTCGAACAGCTTCTACCAGCCAGTGGCCACATCTTTCAGCGTTTAACACCCGTGAATGCGGGAAACTCACAAGTCGCCAAAACCCACTGTTCCCGACCGCTTGCCTTGCTCTGCCGTTCACCTTTTCCCATCAGACATCAGCTGACAGCGCCTTTGTGTTCTAGCCCAATTACAAACCTCGAGACTACCTTCCCGAAATGCCGCTTGATAGCGCGAGCGGAGGACCCCGGCTCGTTCCCTTCTCCACGCCCGATGGTCAGGCGCCGCAGCGTTGGGACGATGGGTATAATCATAAGTAGGTCGGTTGCGTGGGCTGAGCGAGGGTGCAATTGTGGAAGAAGAAACAAATCCAATGGGCGAAATTTCCGAATCTGGATAATGCTTCGGGTGTCTTCCTCTCGAGGAGAGGCGGCTGGGTGTGGACGCGCCCATCGTGGATCTCGTTTTTACGCATCTTGATCAAGCGGTTCAGGCGTACGATTTCCTTGAGTAAGAGCTTGCCGGTGTAATGTTGGGATCTAATGACGATGTCTAGGGTGTCTCTTTTACCTTTTTTTTAGGGGGGAACAGAGAGGACGTGGTGCGGTGAGACGAGCGCGAGTGGTTAACCCGATTGTGGTTCTCTTTTCTATACTCTATAGCCTTCGTGTATGCTGTATCTTGTATCATCCTTTCACAATCATTCCATCTAGCTGGATTTCGATATTCGAATTCTGGACAATTCGTAATTGGGACAGAAAACAAGGGATGTATGTCAGTGGCACGACTTGGAGGTCGCGTCTGGAAGTGCTGATGTTGTCTAAGCCAGCTCTTATAAAACATGGCGAATGGGAGAAGGTGGAATCGAAAGCGATGGAGAGGTCGTAGCACTCCATGGCAGACAGGGCACTTCTGGCAAACGGATCGCGACGACGACTTGCCAATGGGTGAGTCGAGATAAATTCTACCTATTCGGTTAAAGAGTCTTGAACTGATATCAGGATATTTTCGGGCTACCCAGTACTGGTGGGTTTGTGGACGTCTGTGGAAAGTCTGGACCTCGCCACAGTGTTTCAGTGTCATGATAAGACGCATGAAGTGAGTCACCGGGAAAAGGTCCATGTGAGAAGCCATTTCAGAAGCAGGTTATCTATGATAGTGAGATTCCTACTTTGCATGTCGCTGATTCAGCTTCAATAACGATGCGATTACTGGTGGAAGCAACGGTCCAACCTGATTTCGCCAGATAACGGTCGTTACGGTATTCTGCGCCCGATTGCGGTCACACATTTGAATCTGCAAGCGTGGTGCATAACCGAAGGAAATCCGGTTACAAAAGGATATCCGAGGCTACATTTACCTCGAAAATGGGGTAGAAACCAAGCGTGGTGCATTTCGCAATCGGCGCCTGATTCGAGATCATCAAGAAACATCGCACTGGCTTTTTGGCTTTTTGTGACTCGTAAGGCTGGCTGGATTATACCGTTGGCTCTCGCAATCCGCGAGTCCGAGCACCGTATTCTCAAAACTGCATATTTGAATGGCACACTCCGAAAGAACGGGTTTTAAAAGAGGTGAGATCTGATTTCAAAGGTCGCAGTGCATCTTAGTACCGAGCGAAAGCTTTTCTCATAATACGCCGGGTTCGTTTCGATTTCGCATTGATAGGCATTCCCAGCATGTATACCGTGCACCATCCATTCTCAGTACCTATGTTTTAGGTCGATGGCGAATATAGTGTTTGGTTCGATTGATAAAAGAAGTGTTCAACTCGAGGCAGAGGGTAGTTGGAAAGGCGTGATAAGTCATAGAACGCTTAGAGATCAGACTCCTGAATCTTTCAGATCGCCTCGGTCGGATCAATCTCTCGAGTCTACTTGGACTTTATTCTTGGGTTGATGTATCTTGGAATGCTGAATGCCAATGTTTTCAGATGTACGAAGAATTGAAGCATTTAATTTGATGTTGGACTTTCAAAGCGGGCAAGTGAGCCGGCAAGCGCCAAGAAGCGGGCCATGTCACCACCGTCCAACTACCTCAATATCCGCCAAACGCCGCGCTACAATATAAAATATTTAGACATCCCAGCCGCTTGTTTTGCTGGGGTTCACCGAAGACTTTTTATACATTCATCTCGCAATACCACGCACTTCTTTCTTCTTCTTCTGCTATAAGTAAAAATATAATCAAGCCGCTACAATGTCGGAAAAGGTGCCACCGTCTCCCGCGACAGCATTCGTGTAGAAGCTTGGTTGGAGATCCTGCTAACGGGTTTTGTTGCAGAATGAGAACCCATCTTGCTTTCTCTACGGTCCCCAAGAGGCCAAGTATGGAGACAGGCCGGTACCTGAGATATGCGACCCGCACGACGTCATCATCCGCATCCAATATGTTGGCGTCTGCGGAAGCGATGTAAGCCATGTCTCTCTCTATCTCAATCTCGTTTTCCCAGTCATGCTATCGATTACATCCGTTTCGATTAGTCAATGTTACCCTTATCAATCAACACCCTTCCGAATGTCCGGGTCACCTGCAAGATCCATACCCTATAGCCCCATGACCAAATGCAAATAACCACCTACGCACCAAAGAAGTTGACCACCCTCAGGTACACTGGTATCTCCATGGCAGCATGGGCGCCAATTCCATCGTCCCCGGCAAGCCCCTCGTCCTCGGCCACGAAGCCTCCGGCACCGTCCACAGCATCGGCTCATCCGTCCGCTCACTCACCCCTGGCGACCGCGTCGCGATGGAACCCGGCTTCCCGTGCCGGCACTGCGCCCGCTGCAAAGAAGGCCGGTACAATCTGTGTGCGTCGATGACGTTCGCGGCCAGTCCGCCCGACGCCCACGGCACTTTGTGCAAGTTTTTCAAGCTGCCGGAGGACTACTGCTACAAGTTGCCTGCGGGGGTGAGCCTGGAAGAAGGGGTGCTGGTGGAGCCGGCGAGCGTGGCGGTGCATATGGCGCGGTTGGTGGATGTGCGGGTGGGGCAGACGGTGGTGGTTTTCGGGTCCGGGACCGTGGGGTTGTTGTGCGGAGGTGTTGCGAGAGCATTTGGGGCGAGTAAGGTGGTCATGGTTGATATTTTGGAGCGGAAGTTGGAGGTCGCGAAGAGTTTTGTCGGGGGTTGTGGGACGTTTGTTCCTGACTCCGGGGCTTCGGCGGAAAAGAATGCGACGAGGCTGATTGCGGAGCATGGGCTTGATGATGGAGCGGATGTGGTGATGGAGGCAAGTGGGGCCGCGCCGTCGGTGCAGACGGGGATCCATGTGCTGCGGGTCGGTGGGTCTTACGTGCAGGGCGGATTGGGGAGGAACGTGATCGACTTTCCGATCGTGGCGATGTCGGAGAAAGAGTTGACGTTGAAGGGATGTTTCCGGTATTCGAGCGGCGATTTCAAGTTGGCGTTGAGCTTGATAAGTGAGGGAAAGCTGCGTGTAAGAGAACTGATTACGAAGACGGTTGAGTTTGGGCAGGCGGTGGAAGCGTGGGAGACGACACGGAAAGGTGAGGGGATTAAGACGTTGATTAGGGGTGTGCAGGACTAGGATACTGTTTTTGGCACACATGGGTGTATTTCTGGTAGGTTTTAATGTGGATTATTTCATCGTTTGGAAGTGGGGTTATGCGAAGGGATCAGAGCTATAAGGTCTCTGCGGCATCTGAAGCATGTAGAAGCAATCGATAAATGCGGAGCGGTTTTCGGTGATCGATCAAGAGGCGTATCACGAAATGATCTTGATGGGAACGACCAAACATCCCTTTTCGTGACTATGACGGGCATCCTGTCCACCGGCTTAGCAGCCACAGCTCTGAGCTGATTAAAAAAACCGCTCTCGAGTCGGCGTTGTCCTCAACGCTCTCAGAATGAAGCTCGCATCTAAAAAATCACTCAAATGCATTATACCATACGAGTTGCGTGATATATCAGGATGTCTTACCGGATTGTTATTCCCAGGAGGTGCTTAGATCGCTACTCCTTCCCGAGACCTTGAGGCAACACCGAGGAGAGCTTATAACAGTACCATCTTATCAAGCATTCGTTCAAACACATCACGAAGCATGTCATAGCGTCTCGGAAATGTGACGCCGAGAGCGTCAGGCAATAGGCCTTTATGAAATCGTGAATGGCGGGACTGCGGGAGGATTAGCCGAATACAAATACGTTTGCCGGGCAGCCTGATCACCAAGGTAAGATAAAACTTCAGCTCCAGCCTCGTGAATGAACGCGGGGAGCTGCCAACTAGCTCGCTGGGGAGTCGAGATACCTGTAGTCGCGCCAAGTTTTCTAGGATGATTCGGATCTCTTCATCGTACCACAACACGGATGTCTCCTGAACATCAACTACTCTATGCGTAACTTACTATGGGGTATGTCTTCGGATCCTTGTAATAACGTTCGTCTTGTATTATCACTATTCCAACCTTCTCGTATCCAATTATTCAGAGGACAAGTCATCTCCGACGGCAACAGGGTTCTCATGCTTAGAATTAGTGTCGACTTCGAATCCGATATAGGAGCCAAAGAGCTCTAGATGTGGTCGATGGCCGGGCTTGCTCGAGCTCTTGTCTCCACGGAGCGGCGAATTTTCCGCTTTTTGATTAGTTGAAATGCACACACAGATCATGACGATTACAACAGCAGCAATCCCAATTGCGGCCCTAGTGCTAGCACCTACTGTTATATTAGGTTCTGGGCGCTTAGAGCCACTCGGGGAGAGAATCGCTAATGGGAGTCGTGTCAGTAGTTAAGTCACTGTAACAGTCTTGGGGTGGCAATGGCAGTATTTGCAATACTAATTATATCCATGATCATATAGGTTGATCGTGCAGACACAGCCCCGAACACTACTAAGTTATCAAGCGTACCAGCGAACACTCCAAAACTAGATGTCCGATTGAGCCTATGTGAAAGAGCAACACCAACCCTTCGTTTTGGAAAGAGGGCATATCTTGGGGTTTAGCATGGGTGCTGAGAGTGAATACTTTTCCCATATGCGCAAAGCCGCGAATGGTTTCTCTCGAAGCACCCTGATTGATCAAAACTTAGAATTCGTTTGCTCGCACAGAACACAGTAGCAGCGTGGCAATATCCCACGGGTATACTCGGTCAAGATGGACGGGAAGAGAGAGCTGCGGTCTCTTTTTTGGATTAGCGTGCTATCTTGCTGATTCCAACCGCCTCGGACTTCATCGGTCAAGACCCCCACAACACCAAACTCTAAACATACTCAAGGTGGCTCAGTAATGGGAAGTGGTGACACACTAAAACTATAAATTATTTAGCCAGAGCGTTCAATGCAACATTCTAACTACTTCATCAATTCTTAGTCTACATCAATTCAGACTAACACTCCGCTGAAAGATCTGCGACTATTGCGACCGATATAAACCGAGAATCCACATGCAAATCCAGCAACGTGACCCGTTCCACTCCCCCTACACCATGTTTCCCCCACCGGAGATGACATCGAAAAGCACGCGGCCAAATACCATACCGACATGATCGCATTTAAGCCAAATCGCATGGATTTTCCCATGATATGGCCGATGCCAAAGTGGAGAGAGTAAAAAGCGGCACACGAAACTGCCCGAGGTGACGAGAAGAGCTTCCCTTCTCCCCGATTTGCAAGTACTGCCGAATGGTGTTTTCAACACCAGAAAAGTTAGTTTGAATTTTGTGTGATCAGCTCTATACAGCAAGCACTGCTTCTTCCTTTTTGGCAAGCTTCAGCACAGAATACTTTCACCATCTCGCGAGCGTTCTAGTACGGAAGTGGGTTTTTGCGATTTGATCCTCCACGTCGTTCAAGGTCAACAGGAACTGCCGTGAAAATCTCTCCGACGTTGTTTTTGCGCGCACAGTTGCCAAGGGCAGGCGACAAAAGCACCAGCTTCTCCGATTTCAACTACCGGCTTTGCATACATCATATAGCTTAATGTTAGCGCCGTAGAGCCGGCCATACTCGTGTGAGGCGAAGAAGGCACTCATCTTGAGGAAGTACTCGGGAGAGTTCGGGGGGGGCTGAACCAACTGTGGGACTTTCTTGACCAACGAAAGATCACATGTATCCTAAAGGCGAGAGCGGAAGAGGTCGATGTCGTCAACATTACAACGCCCGTACAGGGGCGTTGTCCGACCCGTGTGCCACTGCCTAGAGTCATCACGTGGAAGAGGCATACATGGTTAGCAGAAAGAAAACTATAAGAAGAGCACCACATCTCTCCACTTCCCCAACCCTCTCCATCTCATCAGTATCATTCTCTTTTATCCAATCCTTCCCCCACTCACCGCTCATCCCCAGAAGCTTCCCACTTCGTTCTCAATCTCCACCGCGTCCTTCCCAATGGCACCTCTCGCCCTGCTTCTCGCGGCGCTCGTCGCCCCTCTGGCCCTCGCGGTGCCTACCCCAGGCAACACCTACGGATCCGGCGGTTCCGCCCCTTCAGGTTGGGACGCCTCGGTCGAAAACTTCTGCTCCGCGCCCGAAATCCTTCAGTGCTGCAACGGTACCGGCGTCGCCGGTGTGGCCGGAGAGCCGGACTCTACGGAAACCGGCTGTATGTCATCACCCGCGGATACGATGATGTTGCCTGCGGTCTGACAGGCATGTACTGACGACGCTACTTCATAATAATAGGTATCAATGCCATGGCAGGCGGGCAGGTTACCTATGAATTCGGCTACTGCCCCTATGATTTTAATCCCGTTTGCTGCGCTGCTGTGGTAAGTACTCGATCTCTATCTTTCTCACGTGCATGGAACGTGAGCTGTACTGGTGCTTATGCTGCGGTGACCAGGTTACCGATGGTGTCGATACTGGCTGCGGCATTCCGACCCAGGTCTACGAGCCAACGAGTCGACGACTCTAGGTCAAATGCTGTGATGTGCTGCACGGCGATTTTGGGTGAGACTGACATTGGGTTTTTGGGGACCGGAAATTGTCTTTAATAATGCTGGTTGGATCGAGAAAGGAGGCATGGCCCGTGCGGAACGCTTATCGCTTTTGAAGTCTGCGTTATAATAGTAGAAGCTCTTCATCCATCATCTTGTGCCACTGTCAGCTTTCTGCTGTGCCTAGCCCTTGAGCTACATTCCAATCACACTCTTGTTCCTTTTCGATGTGACACTCAGCCAGACGCTCAATTTGTTACTATCTTCAAGTCAACTGGCCCCCCCCTTACTACGGCGGATCGGTAAAGATATCAGTAATGAGCACAAGACTGTAATATCCACTTTTGATACCAAGACCGGTAGGACGGTCGTTGGAACTCTCAAAAGCTCGGTGAGCCGGCGACCGCGTTCCATTTTACCACCCTAGTTCTGGTACATATCAGAACGGGGATTCTATCTTCTAGATTAGATTTCGCTTTTGCAATTTAATTTGACCATGGGCAGCTTTGCTGAACCTTCCTGATGATATGGTGTGGGCGCCGAAGAATTAGCCTGTGGACTCGCCATCCTCGGGCCTGATCGGCCTTGATGTAGGACGAAGCTCCCGGGTTCTCTTTTTAGGGCGTGGTGACTCTCTGTGACCCCTTGATCCTCTATGACATCTTCGCGCTATATCTTCTAGGTGGCACGGCAGCCTATGATCATACTGCTATGCTCAAGTCGGACTGACTGGAGAATGAACGTCTAAAATGAATTCTGTACTGACTGGGACGCAAAGGCGGCATGATTCCTTCACGGCGGGTGTGTTTGCGCCGAAATTAGGCGTCAATAATCGTTTACAATTCACCCCGCAACATGGATGTGCAAAGCCGACAAGCTTGCTTCGCAAAAGTCGCCCAAGTTCCCTATCCCATCCCCATCGTCAACATGCAAAGCAATGTTTGAGCATGTCATGAAAGATTAGATAAATCAAGCTTCGAACAACAGATTCACCTCTCGACGCTTGTATTAGTATCTCGATAATACGGCATGAAGCTGGGGAGATCATGATTCATCGTGCTGATATGAGCCACAAGGAGCTCTGTGTGCTGACACGTACGTTCAAGGCTAAAGGTTTCCCCTACTCAACATCTACCCCAGCAATCACTACTCCTAATCACGCAGTCTTCTCATGCACCCCTTTAGCATGATGCTGGGCCTCATAGTCGCTAATCACCTGAACCTTCTCCGCACTCGCACTCTCCGGGTCGAACGTATACCCCACCCACTCCTTCGCCAGCCTCCGCGCCAACTCTATTCCGACAACCCGCTGACCCATACAAAACACCTGCGCGTTGTTACTCATCACCGCCCTCTCGACACTGAAACTGTCGTGCGCCGTCACGGCTCTTATGCCCGGTACTTTGTTCGCGGAGATGGCGACGCCGAGCCCAGTCCCACATATCAACAGGGCGCGGTCGGCTTCGCCGGAGAGGACGAGCTTGGAGGCATCGACGGCGACGTGCGGGTAGGCGGTTTTGTCTTCGTTGTGGATGACGCCCACGTCGATTACTTTGGAGACTCGGGGGTCCTTTTCGAGGTCGGCTTTGATGGTGTCTTTGTAGGAGAAGCCGGCCTCGTCGCCGCCGACGGCAATGCGGAGACCGTGGGATGCCATGTTGGGATTGGGGTCGAGATATTTAGGGGGAAGGTGGAAGTAGTCGGGCTTCCTGTTGAATCAGCCGTTTTGGAAGCATTGTTCAAGAGTGGAGGTCATCAATGCCACCCGAAATTGACTTGGGTTCCCCGCAAAAACGTCATTGCGGTTTCGTCTCTTTAGGGAAGGTTTGCCGAACCGCCTCGGTCAATCAACAGTTACACTTGCCTTCACCTTCTTCACTGCTTTCAACTGCGCAACTCATCCTGACCAGCTCATCACATCAAACCCTGGCTCTTCTACTCCCAACCCAGCCATGAAACCTCCAATCCTCCCCAAACGCCTTGTAGGCGTCAACCTGAAGATGTACTTCGACGCGCCCAGCACCACCGCCTACATCACCGCCATCGCCAAGTTCGTCGCCCCACCTGCCTCGATCTCAACCGGTATCTTCATCCTCCCCTCCTATCCCTGCCTGGCCTCCGCCTCCGACCTTTTGGATATGACCCCCCAGGTCATCCTAGGCGCCCAAAACTGTCACGCAGAGGACAGCGGCGCCTACACCGGCGAAATCTCTCCACTCATGCTGAAGCAGGTGGGCTGTCGGATCGTCTGTCTGGGCCATGCGGAGAGGAGAAGAGCGCCGTTCAATGAGACGGACGAAGTGGTGGCTACGAAAGCGGAGGCTGTTGTACGAAATGGCATGATACCACTCGTCTGCATCGGAGAGAAATCGCGGAGCGGTATCATGTCCGAGGGCGTCGGAATCGCGGTCCGCGAGTGCTCCCCTCAAGTCATGAGCGTTTTGCGGGCCGTCCCTGGTGACGCACCCATCATATTTGCCTATGAGCCTGTGTGGGCGATTGGAGCGCAGGAGCCTGCGAGTGCGGATCATGTACTTGCGGTGGTGAAGAGTCTGAAGCAATTGATTGGGACGGTGGAGGAGAGGGCGGATGTAAGGATATTGTATGGTGGGAGTGCGAAGCCCGGGACTTGGGGGACGCTGAAGGAGGGGGTGGATGGGCTGTTTCTGGGAAGGTTCGCGCATGATGTGGGGAATTTTGAGAGGGTAGTCAGGGAGGTTGAGGAGTCGTGATATGGACAGACGACGGTCAGGAACTCAGCTTCGAATGGTCAAGGTCGAACCTTGAAATGGCTAGAAAGGTTGAGTAGGAGAGTCGGGTCAAATACAGGGCTGGCTTGTGCTACACTTGCGGCCGTCAAGGTTGATGTCAACTTATTGCTTATGTATGCTACACGAAGCTTATGGCATTACTTTGCTGATTTTGGTGTCCAGAGAATTGTCCAGATCCATTCAGCTCACGTGGCAACACCGTTCATGACTTCCTCAGTTTGCGCCCACTGGGTCCTGTTGACCATTGCGAGTCTCTCTACTCATACCCTTCCAGTGAGTTGAAAAAGGAACATCAATGCTGTCGTTCCAACTCTGCCACATAGCCTTCCAAATCATGTTTTTCTCATTGTCGTCCCGTCTCGTATGCTTCATCCTTTGAGACTCGTCGACCTCATGTGACATGTCGAAGTATGATACAATCGGGCGACGATAATCCACTCGGAGTTGGCAGCTGGGAGCAAGTGATGCCAGCGAACTTCAAGTCTCTTTGCCTACCCCAAATCCCCACGATTGCATTTCGGCTAAATCTAGTGCTAGGATTTGATTTAGACCCAGTGCCGAACGTACTACTATTCTGCCTAAGCGTTTCGGAGACCCTTGCCTACCGTACCCTATTTTGAGCATACCGTCTCTGGGAGGCGCAGGTGAAACATGCTGCGCCCACCCTGTTGTCCTGATTATGTAAATTATGTAATATTGTTATTACATCGATTAATCTATCTGTTGCTTAGCGTTGCCTTCGGTATTGCTTTCGGTGTTTCGTAATGGAATAGAGACAACAACCCACGTCGCAATAATATGCCCCTGTTTCTTCACTGCAATATGAATTAAAAGCACCAACTTCCTGTCGGAGCTGACATTGTTGTAATTTCCTTACACATTATAGTGATTCACTTTTTGCTTTGCTCTGCTCTGGCAGACGTTCATTCTTTTCCGCTTTACTTGATCGTTCATTCTTTTCCATTTCATCTCGTAGAGACTTTCGCTCATTCTCACAATGCTATTCATACCCATTCATTTCCTCGTCGCAGTCTGTCTGCTCCACACAAAGACCGGCGTGTTAGCGGTGCCTCAACATGCCATGAATCAAATGCACGGATCTTTCTCTCTCCCACTGCAGCGAAGAATCCAGACTGGATCTGGATCCACTGACGTGACGGGATACACCGACAACACCGGAGAATACGCTTGGCTTGTAGATGTTACCATCCGAGACCAGACTTTCTCGCTGGAGTTGGACACAGGATCTGAGACTACGTGAGATACTCTTTCAGCAAGCGCCTCTTTTGACGGATGAAGATCTTGTGTTGACAATTTCTTTGTTCGACCGCAGGTGGGTATGGAGCAACCAGATATCGGAGCCTCCACAAGGCGGGTCTGGCAAGCACACGGAGTATGATTACGGAGCCATTGCTCCTAGTCCCGTCGTCAGCGGCTCGGATTTTTCCCTGATATACTCGGGCGGAAGCAGCGGCATCTCTGGCATAGTGGTCCAAGATACGGTCAGCGTTGCCGGCGTTGGGGTCTCTATGCAATTCGGTGCTGCACAAGTCGTACCAGGGGACTGGTTCTACAGCGACGGGCTTCTAGCCTTGGGATGGTCATCCGGGAATTCGAGTACGTGGGAATGCGAAGAGAGAAGAGGAAATAAAACGGTCTAGTAACTGACGTATATGCATTTGAAAGTCACAAATAAGCCACCCACGTTCATCGAGCTTATTCAACACGGCCTAGATGCCCCCATCTTCACAACGCTCTTCGACTTGACCAATGCTGGAGGTACCCTTGGTTTTGGCGCCGTCGACCCAACATACAGCTCTAGTCTGAAAAAGTTGGCCGTTGACAACTCAACTAGTTCCCTCTGGCTCGTCGACAACCTCAGCTTTACCGTGGGGGTTGAGACATACCCGCAAGACACTATCTTTTTCGATCTCGGCAGTCCAACCATCGCCATACAAAACGACACCGTCAACGCGTACTGGAAGTCTATTCCCAACGCCGTCCGTATAAATGGCACGAATTGGGCGATGCCGTGCTCCGCCAAACTCCCTGACCTTCACTTCACCAGTCCCCTGAACGGTCAGTACCAACATGTGATTCCAGGCTCGAGTTTCACGGGTGCGCTCGCCTATAACGTGCCGGTCCTTGAAGTCGAGTTTCCGAGTACGTGACGTCCTCTCCACTTCCCTCACATTCCCCTCTCTAGGTCCTTCCAACATCCATCTGTTCGCTCCCCCACCGTGCTACCACCGCGAGACTGAGAAGCACGACCGTTTCTAACCTCATTTCGTGATACATGTAGTGTGTTACGGAGGTCTCGTGGCCCAGTCTTGCCCGTCAGGTTGCGCGGTGATGGGCGCGCCGTTCTTCGGGACCCACTATGTGGTGTGGAATATTGCCGAGCCCAGTGTCAGCTTCGCGCTGCGGGAGGGAGTTCAGCTGGGTGTTGCTGCATAGCAGACTGGTCGGCCTCGTCACTGGTATCACCAACCCCGTTTCTTAGACCCCTACGCGACTAATCACTGGTACGATTCGAAACCGGCTCGTGCTGGTCGTAGGACGATCTAGTGCACATTGCTTTAGATATCATTACCTAATGATCGAACTTGTTGACCGCATCAACGCACATGAAGAGAAGCACGTTCCAGTGACTGTCAAACTACAGTCATTAGAGGTTGGTCTCTTCTAACCCTGTGTCGGCTGTTGCGTCCGTCGTTCTTCATCGTGCTAATCACACCGGCTCCACATATCAATATCATCTCGGTAAACTTGCGTGGGTTCCGACGGTACGCAGTAATTTCTGCTAGCTCCGATGACAGCACCCCCCTTTAAGCCTTGAGATGCTCCCTGCAAAACACCAGGGGAAGGCAGAACAAGAATTGGCAGCCTCTCCGACGTGTAAACCAATCGGTGATCCTGTCGAAATTTGGCCCCCACGCATCCCAGCCACCGTGTTTCTCAGCCACCTGATTTTGTACTCTACTTGGGACCTGGCCTCGGAGAGGTTTTGGAGAATCAATCCGTCCGTTCTACACAACACATACCTGAAATTCTAACAGATCCTACTATTGGGAATGTGTTATACACAGCGATGCTCAAGGCTACTAATTAATCAGATATGAAAGATTCCCCAATGATTGAGCTCAGCAGTCATACCATAAGTAGAGAAGTTTCCATCAAGCTTCGGAGGGTAAATTGCTCGGTTATGGGTGAGAACGGGAATTCTTATGAGGGAAAATTATCTTATCCGAAGGTGGGAACCAGTGTCTTTTATAAACAACAATACACAAGCTTATTTTGTGTTCTGACATTCTCTATTTTCGTCTAATCAACGCTTTCTATTTTAAAACCTTTTCTTGCTTACACCATCCGTTCAAACTTCTTTTCCCTCATCCAACGCACTGCAATTGACTCTCTTCCCCCTTTTTCCAGAAAAGAGTCTCGACAAAGGCTTACCCCTCTTGAGCTCCTTCAAAAGCACCATGGAATACGATGGTGGTGCAATTTGTCGTACCCTCAGCCGGCGCCTGGTTCGACTGCCAAAACACCCGGTCCTGCAGCCCCGCCGACTCGTGTCCAGGTACGAGGGTTGGGCAAAACGCAAACCAAGATCCCTCGTTCGCCATATCCGTGTTGTTCCACACAAGCAGGCCATCCTCGTCACCTTCACTAAAACCCGGCGTAGCAAAGCCGGAATTTATGCCTACATTGCCATAGTCTGCATTCCGGTGTCAGTTCTTTCCTTTGATGGAACGAGTGTGGGACGCACAAGGGAAATTTTTGCTATCGGCGGTGGGCTCCATGTATAGGGAGTGGGTTTTGCGGAAGCCACTGAATGTCCAGTATGTGTTGTTGAACTGACCAGTCAATGCTTTGCTGGTGTCATTGGTGAGAATAGCGACATTCGTGCCCTTGCCTGTAGGGAAGGCCGCGACTAGATATCGATGTTTAGTTCAACTCAAAGGAAGCGGGATCGAATGACGACGTACTCATGCCGCATGTTGAACAGCTTTTCCCATAGACGTCGGCAGCGATAAGATACGCTGGAGCGTATTGCGCGAGGGAAGAGCTGATTAGCAGAGTGCCGAGGGACAGCAAGGTGGGTAGCATTTTGATTGCACGTATTGTTTGAAGTTTTGGAAAGTGATCCGTGCTGACGATGTTTTCGAGTACAACGCCTGTATCGGGAGCTCAGGGCCTGTTTATATAATAATGATCCTAGATGTGGCGGTGGGATGCGGTCGCATGCTCACTGCAAGGGTCCTGCATAATATGTGCTGGGGCGCGGGCTACCCAGTAGTGAAAAGCTAGCCAAGCATTGTGGGAACACTGAGAACATCGCTACAATTGAACATGTGTACGGTACTGCATTTGATTGATTCTCCGGATCCTCCCTATAACGATATCTAAGAAATAGATTACATCGTCGGTTAATCTCAGAATATATGAGATTCTCTACAGCCTCATAATTACCGTAACGAATTGCAGTAGATATTGCCGAGTAGACATGTGTGTTACGATTAAATGCCAATCGTTCTAAGAAGGCCAAGCGAGACTCGCTTTGTACTCAAGAGTATACGTCCTCGAGAGCGTTAAGTAACTGCTCGTGACGTATCCCGTCGTTATCCTCGTCGTCGTCCTCGTCGTCCTCATCGTCCTCGTCCTCGTCTTCCTCGTCCTCGTTGTCCTTATCCTCATCATCCTCATCTTTACTCGTAGTAACGATATCGATAATATCGTCACATAACTTCAGAATAGTGTTATGTTCGTAGAGAATCCGAGCATCTTCCAGCTCTCTTTATCTCGCTCTACTTGTTGAATACGAATAGAATTCTCCGGATAATAAGTATCGTAGTCTTGCCAAGTGGGAAGACTGTAATCTCGATATAAATCTCATACGTTAAAGGTTGGACGTTGTGTAGGATCTTGACAGCGAAATTTAAGATTGTTGTATCGATGAGGAGGATCGAGGAGAAGTCTAGTAGATGATTTATTAAAGCCTTCGAATATGTATTAAGAAGGTCTATGAGATATTGCAGGCTGAGGTTAACAGCGTATTATTATATTGTAGAGTGTGGGATCTCGATATTGCCATAGACTTTATTGATTTCTCTAGAATTGTAGCTGATTTTGGGAGCGTAATTGCGAGAGGGCTGGATTTTGTTGATTTCTCTGGAATTGTAGCTGATTTTGGGAGCGTAATTGCGAGAGGGCATGCTCATTTTCCTGTTGTTGACGCTTTTTTTGATGACGATTCGCAGTACGTATGGCAGCAGAAGAAGAGGTACCATAATCGAAAAGAGTTAACTGAGACATAATTTATAGAGATAGAATTCTTTTAGAGAAGAAATGGAGAGACGGAGATAAAGTTGAGATTACTAATAAAATTTGATGTTCGTAGCCAAGAAATTTAGTTACTTCCCGAATAGGTACCTGGCTTTCTCGATTCAGATCTTGGCAGTACTTTTCAAAACTTGTCGACAGGAAGAAAGCTAGCTTTCCAATAATATGCAGGGCGAAGGCAGGCCCACCAATCGGCTCCTTTTCTTGGTCTGTCATCTTCGTATTCTGTCTTCCCTCTGCTTATAACTTTTTACGGGATACTTCAATTGTCTCCACTTGTCGTATCGATATCTTTCTGCGGCATACTTGATAAGACGAAAGACTATTTGTCATTGTAAGAAGCTGACTCTTGCACCGAAGCCTCGCTTCAAAGTGATATTTTTGGAATGGGGAACGCCGAAACAGAGAACGCGAGGGCGACGGACAGCAAGTTGAGATATCAATACCAAAGCGAAAATACTTGAACTGTACTAGCTGCGCATTTTGCAGTAAGTCTAAGCATAGTGAAGAGATGGCCTCATCAATATGCGCTATAGATATGCGTTGTCGATGTCACACGCATACTTGATATTTACGCAGAGGGTATCTTTTTGGAGCCTCGCTCGGGATCGAGATCAGCGACAATAGCCAGCTCCGAGGCAATGCCAGCAGTAGCTCTGTTTTTGGCTTACACTATGCTGATTTCATGGCGGTCAAACAGGGATGTGTCGGTCGTCACTTGCCTGCTGAGACCTTGAAGCACAATAAACTGTACGAAATGGTAAAGCGAGGAATTCTTTGCTGATAGCATCCTTATCGGTCGGAGACTTTTCTTATGGTAACCCGAAAGAGGTGACCGCGCTCAAGGTCGGCTGGCCGCCTCCCCCACGCAACGAACCTAGAAATTGGCAACTATTGACAAGAAGACGTGGCAATGATTGGTAATCGGTCATGACATCAGCTGACAGAAATTCGTCTAGCCCGACGGTGTATAGGCGAGGAGGCGGCCGCACTGGCTTTGAGCTCTTGCAAAAGATGCGTGAGTATGATGCATCGTGTTGATTGTGGGTGTTACGAGTGGGTCACCGCCGAGGTTAGCACCAATACCTCACCATTTGGTTATGGCCAGGATGCTTCACGGATACCAAATACAGGCCTTCTTGGCCCAATAGACAGCGCAAGGCACCCGATCGAGACCGTCACTTTCCAAGACAGACAATGCGTAGGCTTGAGCCCCACCGCAATCGCGCCATCACAAAGTATTGATCAGCTAGACGGGAAAATGTTTAAAAGCGACGTTCAATCTGCGGTCAAACGACGGATACTGGTAGCGTACATTATTGTGAAAATGGATAGGAGCAGCCATTAGCACAATCAAGATGTCAAAGCTTCTTCCAAACCTGGAATTCCAGTCCACTCACCACTTCCCTCTTCCCTCTTCCCTCCACCCTTTTACACTACGCCCCGTGCATCCTTCTGTACCGGGCCCCATTCGTCTTTCTTCTTGATATCGTCCATTTCTACAGGTCGCTGCCGAGGCCATTCGAATTCCTCCGCATACGTCTTCTTGCCGGTCGTCTGCTTTGCTTTCGCCGCGCGACGGCGGGACCTCGTCACCAAAAGGCAGACGGCGCCCAAGAGGCCCAATATGATCAACCCAAAAATCACCGATAAGACCACTGCGGGATCAACGTGCTTCTTTGCGGTTGGCATTGCGGCTACTGCTGGCGGGAGCGGCGCGGTCGAGTGCGCGGCCGCGATATGCTCGGTAGACGGTGTTACGGATTTAGTCTTGATGATTGTGGTTGCGACGGTCGTTCCAACGGTGGCTAGAGTATGTTGTATTACCGTGACGGTGGTTGGCGCGGTGGTCGCCACGGTGGCCAAGTCGTGCTGTACAATGGTCACTGTGACATCTGCACTAGTCACGGTACTGATGTCCGTGACAGAGACAGTGACAAATGTGGTGAATATAGACGGGTTCACATTTCTATCGCTTGCTGACTCCGCGCCTGCAGCACTGGGGACCGGTGTACCCTTTGCGGCTCCCGCGGCGCTAGATGTGGGTGAGTCCTTGTGGAGATCGGTAACATTCGGTGTCGGTATGTCGTTAGCGATCCCTGGCACACTAGGTGTTGGCAGGTCATTGCCCACAACCGGAATACTGGGTGTTGGTATGTCTTTACCGGCTGCTGGCACACTTGGTGCCGCGGCGTCTTGTCCGGCTCCCTTGTCTTTCCCCTTCTTGGGCGATATGACGGATCCCAAGGACCCCAGGATAGAGCGAGGAAAAAGCCTCATCGTTGCAGATTGCTAGAATGGGAAATTAGTGGTCTCGAGTGTGGTTAGGAATGATGTAGGAAGGGATAATACAAGTTGGGCAATGAAGAGAAGTACTAGGATTTTGGTGTTCCGGAAAGTGTTATCAAGCGGATTCATAGACAATGTGCTAATGATACAGTCTACATAATACGATTGTCAAAAGCTTTGTTACGAATAGCATTGTGCAGGCTGTATGTCTTTGTTATATTCGTCTTTGATACATCTCACGCCGATCATGCAGTATCTTTGTCCCGCAAAGACAACATAAATCAGGATACACCAACACCCAATCGACCGAGTTTTTATCCAAGCCTTCCGTCTCGACTCGAGTTTGGCTTTGTTTCCCACGCTCGGGCTTTGGGGCGAGATTCATCACATCCGGAGCTGTGCGCTCATGAACGTCTGGGGGTCTTGATCGCTTTAAAGTCCAGCGGGGGCGTCGTGGCATATTTAGCAGCGATTCGTGCCGACCATCTCACTGGCCGAGTAGGCATTAGCTCTGTGGGACGATAGTCAGGCCCCACACTTGCTTTAACGATGACGCCATTGCACGACATGCAATAGGTTACATGACTAATCTGGAGGTCCCGGTTAATGAAAGATCGAGCGCAGCCAGGACAAACCGGTTTGGATGTCGGAGGTCTATCGGGATCAGAGATCTTCCTCCCTTGACGATCTCGATGGAATTCCCGAATCAATGTCCATTGTCTCGTGCTTTTGTTCCTTACTTGTCTGAGAGTCTCGTGCCGACATGACCAGCATTTCCAACCATCGCTCAGCAACGACCGACAAACACAGCCCGAGTAACCGCACGGGTGGCGCCTTGCCTCGTAGAGCTGACATTGTCTGCACAGCTTGGTCCGATGAGCTTTCCTGATTGCCTGGCTCTCGAGACCGCTCCAGTGATTAGCCACACTGCTGACACAACTAGTGCAGACATCGCCACAACATGGATAAGCCCGAGGAGGGCTGGCGTTCAACGGTGGCGGAATGCCGGTGCACGTTTTAACTTGGAGGCTGGTAAGGGGATCTGTCTGGCACGGGATTCGTCCAGGAAATCGCTCCCCGTTACAACGCGCTCCGAGCCAACGCAGCGTCGAACGGGTTGTGGGAGCAGTTGAGTTCGTAGGCCTATTGCGGGTATAGATGAGGTTACCATGTCTGTCATGCGTCTGCCACATAGGCACTCCTCTGACAATTTGGTCGAGACGTCTGCTTGCAATCCGTATATTTTTGGCATCCCAAATGTTAAGGTATTGGAATATATCGCGCTGGAAGGTATCGCCTGCGTCACCGGCATTGAACAGAATGGACAGGGTGGACTCTGAAGGTTGGGATGGATCATTAAGGATCTTTTTCAGGTCAGACATGACGAAGATGCGCAGTAGGAGCGCGGAGGCACAGTCTTACACGAAACAATTCTTGATTTGGCAATCAATGTTCATCATCGTTCACACGAAACCAGT